GGAAACTTCACGCCTGACATCCCACAGCAAAATTCTGCGTCGCGATACGCGTTATTTCTTTTTCGATATTTGTGCGATGTATTGATAATTAAACCTTGATAATTGAACCTTGAATTTAAATTCTGAGAGATGATCATTTTAGTATCAAATAAGGTGTTATCATGTTATTGATTAATTTCAATCTTTAAATCCGAAAAATAATCGCGGAATAATATGTTTGCTCCATAACCATCTGGTCCGTAATCAAACATATGATACAGTTATTAATATACTTCAAATGAAACGCCTGATTACATAATTATATAATTGAGTATATAATTAATGCGTGAGTGATTACAATTCGATCAATAACAAAGTTTATATCTGTCATAATGTGACATGAATACGAATGATTCCATCCGTGAAGGGACCTTTCGCACGAGATAATTATATTAATTATTGTTATTAATAATAATAGTAATATTATTATTATTATTATTACTCACTTTTCAACATTATTTATTTTTTCAAGATTAATTAATAAATAACATATTAAATCTATATTGGTTAGTAAAATATAATATCAATTAACAATACAGCAATTTTTACGGTTATTTGTATATTTTAAGATCCGAATTAATTTGCACGAATTTGCACAGCTGGAACTGATATTGGTACAAGTGAAGTTTTATTCGACTTTCATGACCAAATATTACCTCAAGACGCTTGTTATTGAAATACTTTTGATTTCTGTTATACCAGATTAATAACGATTGATTTAAGATGTTGAAAAAAGTTGAGTGAATTTTATATATATTAAAATTTAATTAATATAACTTAAACTGTTCAGATTATTTTATGTATATATAATCCGTATTAAAAATTCGAGTATCTTGCATGAAGTCGCAAATCTTATATTTTTATTCATACATGAATAATTTGCAAACTTTTTGTAGATGACTCCGCGATTCGATCCAAAAATAGAGAGATTATTGCTGCAAGAAGACTGAAAAATAATAATAATTGTAATTTAAAATGTTATACAATAAGCGATGATGTCGCGTCGAATTTTTCTTAGACAAAAGATAATTTTTACGAATTCCATAAATTGAAGAATATCTGGCCAAGAGATCCTACACAATCGAGAACATTTGCAAATCACAAATCGTAATTCTTGGATTTTAGGATGTTCGATTTTCCCACTAAAATTTACGTATCCATTCACGCGAGGATAAATCGTTTATATGATGGGGAGAGAGAACAGATCACACATGAGAAGAGTCTGTTTGCTTTTTCACTTTTCTCTTGACTTCATATTTGAGAGTATTTTTTTCTTTTTAAGGGGTCAATCGTCACGCATTGTTATCGTAGGTTCGTGTTTTTTTTACACTTTACTTTTTACACATTGCTGTCAAGAACGATGGAAAAAAATGAATCATCGCGATATATATGTACGATTAAAAAGACATCGCGGTTTCGTCGACATCAATTTGCAAAGAAAGGATATTAAAAAAATAGTTTTCTTTTATTTTAATAATTTTTGTAATAATGATAAAAAATTCATAATATGTGTACAAGGTAAAATTCAATAAAATTATATACATAAATAGCTTGAATCTTCACAAAGAGAAAATGATTCCAATATTAAAAATTAGACACCCAATAAAAAAATTGAGCACAACAGAAGCTCGAAACTATATCGATAAAAGTTTGGATAAAAACACTTTGCGATTCTAAATAAGGAAGGTACTCTACATGAGACGCTTTTGTTATACGAGCATAGCAGCGATGACACAAATATATAAGCTCGAATGTGACGTGATATCGCATTAAACTTTCTCGATTAAGAATGAACGTTTCAGCGCGGGAGTGGATTTAATACACCGCTTCGTTCCAGCCCGGAAACATAATTTGTAATCGGGAGGGTGCCTTCTCCGACGCGAGTTTTCGGGGCTGGACATCGCGTGTTATTATCGGATATAGGCGATGCGTATTTTACGGGCAAGTTGGAAAAGCGACTGACGGGTCGACCTGTGTTCGTCCGCCTCGTCTGCGGGTTTTCACACGTGCTTTCGAATACGGGATGAATATCGGGTTCGCGCTTCGCCACGCGAGTCGAGCATTATATCGCCTTCGCATTTACGAAGCTGTCACTGTCGGCTTGTGTGGCTTGCTCTCGTTATGAAAGGGGTATTATGTTTTAATAATGGACAACATCGCGCGTCAAATTCATCCGGCAGAGTGAAAACGCGTAACATTTATTTTGTTCGACCAGTCTCGAATTGCATCGGCGCGATATACACACCGATGCGATGTACATATTGTGTATTACATTAAATATGAATATATGCTGTCAAAAGTTTCGATATCGAAGCATTCTTTTTTTTTAACTACTAGAACAACACAAGCGCGAGCTATTCTTCCATCCATTTCGAAAAAAGACATTTTAAGTCGATTCTTGAAAGTCTCCATGTATTGTTGCCTTTTATCTTCCTGATAGCTCTCGATTCGCGTTATATTCATATAGCATTGAACGACTGTCATCGCGAGTGTTCACAGTTGTTCAAAATAAAATTAAGTAAAATTAAAATCAGTAAATGAAATCAGATAATGATGCGCACTTGTGTTGTCTAATATTAATAAGTTTTAGTGATTACTAGAAAAGACAAGCGTGCACTTTGCGCGCCATTAATATTGTTTTTATTTTTATTTTACAACTGTCAAACTATTAACTATTAATCGAGACAAACAATCAGCACGACGGAAAAGCGGTAAAAATATTTGCGAAAATGCCTTTTTAAAAAGGGACATAATTTTAATTCATCGAATTTCTATTATGTGTTGTATAGTATAATTAAAATAGTAATATGTTGTAAATATAATATGTTATAGAATACCTTATCCTTGATTATATAATATGTTCTCGAGTCTTGTGATTAAGTTTCGACTCTTTACGATTTGACAAAGACATACGTTAACATGAATGTAAACTTTAAGTTTACATGAATTCACGTATGATACTCCGATTGTCGACGAAATTATATTGTGTCAACAATAATCCTCCTTTCCCGATGAGTACACCTTGACGTAATGGCCAGGGTCTAGTACCAGGATAAACAATCCTTTAAGATTTATATCTTGAAGGATTATCCTAAAGGGAAAGCAAAGTATCCAAACTCCTTTTCGCGTATAATAGTGCAATCTCGTAATTTTTTCGAGATCATACTTAATCGAAATCAACAATAAAAGGGGTAGACGCATATGCACATAACATTTAGTTCATTTTGATATATAGTTATAGTAAACTTATTAAATTTGTGAAAAAAAACGACCAATACTGGACTACAAAAATTTTTCTTGATTTATTTAATTCATGACGTTTCGATCTGTGGTTTAGGTCTTTATCAAATGATTAATTCTTTTAAGATGTCAATATAATTAAAGTGGTGTTAATTTTTTAAAAAACATTTCAATCGCTATATATTAAAACTCGTTGGTGTGTGGTATACACACTTCTTTAATTATATTGACATCTTAAAAGAATTAATCATTTGATAAAGACCTAAACCACAGGTCAAAACGTCATGAATTAAATAAAGAAAAATTTTTGCAGTCCAGTATTGGTCATTTTTTTCCACGAATTTAATAAGTTCAATTTGATTCTTACTGGCGACTAATCAATTAACAAAGACATCAAAATATATAGTTATAGTGTTACTGTTTTTCTAACTATCTATCATGCGAAGTTAGCATATATGTATATCATTTCTGAACTGCCGTTATTTATGTTGAATGATCAGATCTATTGTTATAATTTATCAAGTCCTATTTATTATAAAACTGTTTTGTGCTCTTCTGGGCATGTACAAATGCCTTTCCAAGAGATTCTGATAATGGAAAAATAATTAGACAATTTTTTAAACAATTATTTAGACCGAAAAACTCGTTTTGAATATAACGTGAGCTACCGAAAGTCTTGAAATGTATTATTGCTTTTTTTTATGACATCGATTAATTCTATTCTTGCGCTTATTTCGCGAGCGGATGTTATTATTAATTTTGTGATTCAGTGATTTCAGTTTCTCAGTTAGAAAAAAAGTATGCATTGATACTATACTTTGTAAAATGGAATAAAATTGAAAATAATCAAAAAGTTCAGATATTGTAATGTATTCACAACATATTACTATTTAATTATTTTAATAAATTAATATTTCAAAATTTAATTTATAAGTTAACACATAATTAAATATTTTTTAAAGAAAATTACTATTTAAAGTGCATATTGGCTAATTAAATTTTTATTTTTATATAATATATTACAAAAATAAAAGTAATATATATGTTTTAAATAATATATGTTATAATACATGTTAAACTGGATTAAGATATGTTTATATATATATTATTTACATATATTAAATTATTATAACTTGAACTTGTAGAAGACGCGGTTTTTTCGAGATATAAACAAGAAAATTAATTTTTTTACGGCGATATCTCCTAAACGATTAATCTTATGCAAATAAGTCAAAGGGTAAACTTGTAGATCTCAATTTCTACAAAATTATCCTTTGCATTTTTACTGTAGGATGCTGCTTTTTCGAAGTAAAAAAAGATAAACGATTTGCTACCTGCTAGTTTTATAAAAATAACTACACTACGTATTTCTTTTAATCAAGAGAAAAGAGAAAGATGCAATATAATTTCTCTTTATTATCTAATTATTATGGTTGAAGTATGTTATTTTTTTAACATATTTCTTAATGCTGCTCTATTTTCGAAATAAAGTTTTATAGTATAAAAATGTTTCTATAGTTCGAATCATATTTTTTTCTAGAGTTTTAATAATTAGCAGTGTTAATTAATTCTTTTATTTAACTTTTTGACATTCAGATATCGATTTAATTGCCTTTTTTAAAAAGTGGACATATTATAATTATATTAAGAATAAGATAAAATCAGGTAATTGAAAGATATAATATTTATTTAATATGTATGTGTAAATATATTGCATATTATTATGTGCATGTTTATATTTATTACAGTGCATTAAAAATATATAATTCCTTAAATAAAGTTAACTTATTTTGTAACAATAACTTACAATATTTATGAAATGTCCTACATTTTTGTGCGGTAATTATTTAATATAAATACTACAAAAAAAAATAAATTACTAAAAAAAATTTGAAAGTAATTTAGTAATTAAAAATACTTTATCGTAAAGAAAATAGATACTGGAAAATTATGCTTAACTCAAACTCATTAATAAAGCTTTTAGAACAAAGCTCAAAAAATGTTATATCAATTTAATTGATATCAAATATCAAATATCCACATTCAAATATTTAAATATTCAATATCAAACACACACCCACGTACGCCACACATGCACATTTGAAAAATTACATTTGAATAAATGATATAAACTTGTAAATAATTTAGGATAATGTAAAATAATAATTATAATTTTTATAATAGTAAAGTGATGATTTAGTTGTCGAGACATAAAATAGACATCTTGTATACGATACAAATTCATAAATGAATCGACAGATTCTTGCATACAAAATCTTACAAGCAACCATTCTGTGTTGAAGCTAAGTATTCGTTATATCGTTTTTGCTGTGTTTGTTGTAGCTTTTGCAATTTCTTGAGCAAACCTTTGCTAAGTTCTTTACCTTCGGCATCGTGCGTTGGCAATCCCTATAAAAAAATATATGTATATATATATAATATATAAAATATATACACATATAAATATATAAATAAAAATATATAAATTATATGAAACGTCAAAATATATACGAGCATCATATAAATAATATAAATCTAAACACTATTATGATAAATAAAATTCTCTTACCTTATCATCAAACTGAGAATATTTATCTTTCTCCAATCTAAACATATCAGTCGGTGATATTTTTTTCTGTGCTTCCTTCGCTGCGGCAGCAGCAGCAGCCTCTGCTTTTTTCTTTTCTTTCTCTAAGTTCTTTTCAAGTTCCAACTTTTTCTTGATTTCTTTCTCTTTCAACAACTCTTCTTTGTTAACTAATTTTACTTTACAAATCTCTTCATTACTGTCTTCCAACCGCACTCCAACGTTTGGTAAGATATCGTCGCGCAGTATATCGCACTCTTGCAGAATATCGTTTGCCTTCAAAGTTTTCGCGCAATCGCGAACTTTATGTCGAAAATTAGCCAAAATTTCCAGATATGGCATAACAGTCTCTTCAACCTGATCATAAAAGATTTATATATATATATATAAATTCATATATAAAATTTTTCAATGAGTTAAAAGAAATATATCAATTTAGTACATATTTATCTTACATTTGTACCAAGTGTCTCATCATCAATTGGAAATCCGATCGAATCATACGAAGAAGAAATAGCTCCAAAAATAATAAATAATTTTGTAATATATACGCCAATATCTCTAAGAAGAAGCGTATTCGGATTTTTATTTTGACTCATGTATATGTTGCAAGTTGCCACAAGTTCTCGTATTACATCGAGAGCAGTTCTTGTATCGACATTATCTACAAAAATCATCTCATTAGCAATCTTTCTAGAACTATCAATCAATGAAGAGTATAATCAATAAAAACACTTACCGCATAATGCTTTATGTACAGAATGCTTAGCAAGCTGAAACTTTTATTGAGTTCTATTTCAGAATTAGACCATTTAGTAAAACTGTTAATAGTAGTTTTCGTTCCCAAACTTCTAATTTTACATTTTACATTCAAAAAGAATTCCTACAAGCATTGATTGTATAAATGTATAAATGTTATAAAGATATAAAATTGCATTATGTTTGCACAATAAAGATATAATAAAAATACTTACGTTAAGAAATTTTTCATATTGCACGACCATATTCATAGTATTATCGCTGTAATCTAAAGTATCCTTCCACGAATGTAAAAGAAACGCAAGTCTAAGTTGTCTTGCCGAATGCTTCTTTAAAGCCTCTTGTATAGTTACAAAATTCTTTAATGATTTTGACATTTTGCAGCCAGCTATAGTCAAGTGACCAGAGTGCAGAAAATATCTGACCCAGTGTGAATTATCAAAATACGCTTCCGCTTGTGCAAGTTCATTATCGTGATGAGGAAATTTAAGATCTACACCGCCTGTATGAATATCTAAGCTCTCTCCACAAATCGCAGAAGCCATGACCGAGCATTCGATATGCCATCCAGGTCGTCCCTTGCCCCAAGGACTGTCCCACCATGGTTCGCCTGCTTTTGAGCTTTTCCAAAGTGCAAAGTCTGTCACTGATCTCTTTTCAGAGAGTTTATCTTCCGTAATGCTCAAATCACCTTAAACAAATTTAAAAAATTAAATCTAGAAAAAATCAAGGTATAAAGAATAGTGATTTAAACTTACCCTCTCCTTCTTGTAAACTTGAGGTATCGCCGTATGCTTCTGGTACAAGTTTAGCATAAGAATGCTTTTTCTGTTTATCAAACTTGCCTACATCAAAGTAAACTGATCCATTACTTTCATAAGCAAGCCCATTATCTATTATTTTTTGTACAAATGTTATTATCTCAGGGATATATTCGCTAACTCTTGTCAGTACATTCGGTTTTAATACCTAAACAATTTGTGCAAAATAATATTAATAGTTATAAAAATTAATTTGTCTTAAAAACATATATATTATTTGTTTTAATATTGTAATTGAAATTTCTTACATTTAAAGCATCCATATCTTTATGAAATTCTGATTCCCAATGTTTAGATAGTTTATTAAATATAGAATGCTCTGTGATAGTATTGCCTTTTATTTTATCTAACCAGTCAGCTAAAGGATCTTTAGCTTCTTTCAGTAGTTCCTGTACATAAATATTGCGATAATATTTTACTCATTTATATTAATAAGAAATAATTTTATAAAGATTTTTTGCATACTTTTTGCAATTCAGTAATTTCTTTCTCATTCTTTCCTATAACTGCTTTTTCCAGATTTTCGATAGCCTTTGTTATTTTACATAACATCTTCTCCATCATGCACTTTTTATCAGGATCTGTTGTTGTTTTTACAGTATTTTCGAAAGTAGATATTACTTCTCTCGTATCATCTAATACACTGTTCAGACTATGATTTTCCTCTAGATATTTCTCATACAAGTAATTTTGCCTTGCCCTTTTTATAATCTTATCATCTATATCAGTAATATTCATTACATATAAAACATCATATCCAAAATAGTCTGACAATACACGACGTAAAATGTCAAAAGATATATACGATCTGCAACAAAGGGAACATTTGCATATAGATATCTTCCTTGCATATAATACATTAATACATTTAATATTGTATAAAATTTGTTATAATTATATTGTACTAGAGCACAAGTGATACAAATGGAGAAATTTTATTTATGAAAATATCTTTAATACCTTGCATGGCCCATATGTGATGCGTCATAAACAGTAGGTCCGCAACTATACCACAGAATACGATTTCCAAATTGTGGGACAAATATTTCTTTTTCTCTGGTCAAACTGTTGTACAATCGTAGCTCAGTAGCATCTTTCCTATTTGGCAGATGCCAAGCTGGTTGTGATCGCTTTGCCATTTCTAATTTATGGAACAAATAAAGTATATTACTTGTTTAATTAAAAATACAATTTTTTTTATAATTTCTTATGACACATATAAACTTATAAGCTAACTTAATTAATATTATCTTAAAATAATTTGAAAGCCTAAGTCATATTTTTCCTAAAAAATCAACCATTCTTTAAAAAGAACATAAAACGTTAATCCATAATTAATTAATTTACCTTCAAGTATACTTCGCCAAAAATCAAATAAATTATTTTCAAAAATTTATATAAATTTTAATAACACGTGTTTGACACACCACGTACACAGTTGCACTCAGATGTGTGGATGATGTTATCAAGGTAGATAATCACATCATATGCTGCTGCCCCTTTGCTTATACACTTTAGCTAGATAGGAAACTCTATGAATTTTTAAGATCCGCGTTGAATTAGCGCTCGATTATTCGAAAAATCCCTAGCAGACATATGACAGTTCAACTTGACAGTTGGCAGACGCGAAATAATCGATATGCATATCGACATCGCGCGCAACGATTTCGCGCGATCTACACCACAGATTAATAGACAGATCGCCAAAGGCCTGCCTAAAGAAGAGACCGCCATCTTCGTGCGATAGACTTTGCCCCTTACCGACACACTTTGCCCCTGGTTCGAGTCCGTGCTAAATTCGTAGACTTGAACCAAAAGACTTTGCCCCTGGTTCGAGTCCGTGCTAAATTTCGTAGACTCGACCAAAAGACTTTGCCCCTGGTGCAAGTCCAGGCTAAATTCGTTTGACATTACCAACAGACTTTGCCCCTGGTGCGAATCCAGGCTAATTGATCATGAGACCAATTTGAGAGATTTGGCCCCCGTTGTGTGTGTGTGTGTGTGTGTGAGAGAGAGAGAGAGAGAGAGAGAGAGAGAGAGTGAGAGAGAATATTTTACATATATGCATATATATATAAAATTTATTAAATATAAAAAATATATTTTTTACACATAAAATGTTTTTTTATTGAAATAATCACGATTTTAAATGTGATATAACACAGTGTTCAAAAATTTTTTAATTAAATTTTTTAATTAAATTTTATTAAAGAAAATTACTTGAAATTTTTTACATTAAGAATTTAAAGGCTCCTTATTCTCTTGTAGAAATTTATCACTACGCCAATTAATCACTTATTTCGAGTATTTAAAATACTATAATATACAGTAATTTAAGTATTCGAAATAAAAGTGATTAATTACTCGAAATAAGTGATAAATTGGCGTTACTAGTAATAAATTTCTATAAGGGTTGAAATAAAGTATAAGAGATAAATAGGCTATATGTGAGCCGTATGCGAAATGTGAGATGTAAGACGCATATTAAAATTTAATTTTTCGATATAACTTTCAAAAATGTACACGAGGTACAAAAAATTAGCTTGGACATTTGTAAGACTTAAAATTGGGATTAATTCTCAATTCTATTAATTAAATTTCGATATAACACACCTTACATCCGCGCACGGCTCACATATAGCCCATTTATTAGTGCAATTTTTAAGTTCCTTATTTTTCAAAGTTCACCTTTTTACGTTATCAAATATTTTTACGTTTTCAAGAATTTTATATTTTAACTTACCGCAGTTTCTTATCCAAATGTAAAATCTTTTATCGCAGTCTATAAAAAATTGAAACAATTTACAATTTTATGATATAATATTATTATTATTACAATTTCTATATATATGCACATCTGTCAAATATCGTGATTTATTTCACATTATTATTATCTATTTTAATAAAAAAAAAAACAAAAACACTTGCAACAATCAAAAATAAACCGCCTGCCGCGAACGGAAAATGCCAAGAAAGCACGCAATTTCCGCGAATCTCGTAATTTTTTTGAAAAATCAACAATTTCAACGAAATTGTAAATTCTTCAAATCACTGCACAAGTATAATTCACAATAATAATTTTCAGTAACTACGATAAAAAATCGTATACTGAAAACCGCAAACGAAAGTGCAATGGGAGTAAGAGTAAAGTCTGTGATAAAATTAATTGGCAATAGAAAATTAATAATTTTCAAATAGAAAAATTTTGAAATTACCGAGGATTTACAAATAATAAAGTAAAAATATTAAATAATTTATGTTTTCGAATTTTGCTCGCGGAGAGGATCTTTAAAACAAGATTTTTAGAAGAGAGGACCTTTAAAATATAAACAGGCAAAAACGTTGGAAAAATTAAAGCGCGCGTTTAAACAGATAAACGCAATGAAATAAATACGCAATTGTTTTTACTTATCGCTGTAAGCTCACAAGCTTCTGACGTGCTATACACTTTTATATAATATATACAAGGTGTCCGGTAACTAACGGACCAATGATTAAGGGCGGATTCTCTGGCCAATTTGGAGACGATTTTTCCTTAGCAAAAATGTTGAGAAGTCAATAATTTTCGAGTTATAAGCGATTGAAAAAAATAGGTTTTTTGAAAACTAAACGTTTTGGAGTTAAAAGTCTAACATAATTACATTCTTCAGTTAATTTCAGGTAGAGTTTACTATAATAAAATTTTAATTTAAGGCTTAGTTATAAAGATACATAATGACAAAGATTGGAAAGTTGTAAAAAATGATGACCTTTTTCGACATTTTCGCTGAGGAAAAATCGTTCCCAAATTGACCAAAGAATCCATTTGTAATCATTGGTCTGTTAGTTACCGGACACCCTGTATATTGGACACGAGTTTCGTTTGTTTCAGATTCTCGAGAGTTGAAGTAGGAACATACGAGTATCATATATCGTTTGTGACTTGCCGAATGAAAGCAAGACAGAGAGCGAACGAGATGATGAGCTTAATAGCTCATAATGTTATAAATAAATAAATAAAAAATTATAACCTGACCTACTAGTTATTGAATCTTTTTTTAATAAAATGTTTCATTATTATTATCATCTAAGTCTAAGTCGTTTAATTACTTTTTAGTTTTTTAATAATTAATTTAATTTATTCTAGTCATTTTTATATGAGAAAAATAATATCACGTATACGTTTTATAATGAATTAATATATTTCGGGAACCGAATTATATATTCTTAATAATATAAAAGTGTTCAAAAATTATATTTGACTTTTAATTTTAATTATTTTATAGCAAAGAGTTCCGAAATCTCTTACACACATAATGGGGATTTTTTTCATCCATATAATTCGCAATTAAGTATATATGTTAATTATTAATTTTAATAAAATAAAAATTAAAATTAAAGGTCAAATATAATTTTTAAACACAAATATATTAAATTAATTATAAAACGTATACCCATAATAGTATTTTTCTCGTACAAAAATAATTAGAGTAAATTAAATTAATCATAAAAGATTAAAAATTAATTAAAGAATTTAAACTTATATTTTATATAATAATAATAAAACATTTTATTACGTCAAACCGTCGTGAAATAATTAAATAAAATTTGCTAGTTACGTCAAAGTCAAGTTTTCTAAGCTTATACAACATTTTATTAAAAAACAGATTCAATAAATATAAGTACATGTTATATATATACTTATATTTAAATGATAATCCTTAAGAGTCGCCAGTAATAAATAATGAAAATCTCTCCTCCAATTTTAAAGTCGACTAGACTGGCAATAATTTATTTAAAAAATTAGTTAAATTACAACGTTTCGGCTGTCATTGCAGCCCTTTTCAAGTAATCAGATTAAAACAATAAATCAAATTTACAGCAAACCCCCGACAAAATTAACCATTGTTTTGATGAACAATGTATAACTGACAGAAGTGAGCACAAAAAAAAAATAGATGTTGACTGTTAGCAGGAAACTTAGTCACTGTGACTAAGTTTCCTGCTAACAGTCGACATCTATTTTTTTTTTTTCGTGCTCACTTCTGTCAGTTATACATTGTTCATCAAAACAATGGTTAATTTTGTCGGGGGTTTGCTGTAAATTTGATTTATTGTATTAATCTGATTACTTGAAAAGGGCTGCAATGACAGCCGAAACGTTGTAATTTAACTAATTTTTTAAATAAATTATTGCCAGTCTGGTCGACTTTAAAATTGGAGGAGAGATTTTCAATACTTATATTTATTGAATCTGTTTTTTTATAAAATGTTTTATTATTATCATATATAATATAAATTATTTAATTATTTTTTAATTTTTTTATGAGTAATTTAATTTGTTCTAGTTATTTTTGTACGAGAAAAATACTATCACGGGTATACGTTTTATAACGAATTAAATATATTTATGTTCAAAAATTATATTTGACCTTTAATTTTAATTTTGTATTTTATTAAAATTAATAATTAACATATATACTTAATTGCGAATTATATGGATGAACAAAATCCCTATTATGTGTGTAAGAGATTTCGGAACTCTTTGCTAAAATAATTAAAATTAAAAGTCAAATATAATTTTTGAACACTTTTATATTATTAAAAATATATAATTCGACTCTCGAAATATATTAATTCATTATAAAACGTATACGTATTAGTATTTTTCACATATTAAAATAATTAGAATAAATTAAATTAATTATTAAAAAACTAAAAATTAATTAAACGACTTAGACTTAGATGATAATAATAATGAAACATTTATTAAAAAATAATTATAATAGGTCAGGTTAATATTTTATTTATTTATTTATTTATAACATCATAAAATTCTGTCCTTTCCGAAATACGCGAACGCTACGAAAAGATAAATCTCGTACATGCCGCCGGACGAGTTCATGAGCATGAGACGCTCTTATCTTGGGAACGTATTAATAGTTACTGCATTGACCACTACTACGATATGGCACTGAAATCAGTGAGAAATGCTGGTCTCTCCTTCATCCAGACCTTTGGCGATCTGTCTATTAATCTGTGTCTACACATTCCGCGGCTTTTTCCGTACCGGCTGTTAATGACAGTTCGACTGTCAACGTGCCGAATGGCCTAAAACGGCAACGGTAGCCTCCGAAAGCGAAGTATATCCGCGGGCTGGTCTGATGCCACGCGATAACAAGTATGCAGGTGTCGTTATCGTTTATTATTTGTGAAGTCGCCGACAGTGAGATTGTCCCGTTCGTAAATTCCGTTCGATCGAATCGATATTTGAAGCGAACGTCGAGGAGAAGGAGGCCAGCGTTCACCGAAGACAGCATGTTACTTGAAATTCTTACGGACACCAGCTCGCTCGTCACCCGACGTTCCCGATGTTGCCCGCAGGATGTTTAACTTGTAGATGCCGCTTAGAATTAATCTATGATCGCCGCAATTTATTGGCGAGACACGCTCGAGAGCGTTCGGTTGCCTCGAGTCTTTATCACCTACGATAACGAGCTTTTTCAACCGGACGCGTGATATGACTTGATTATCATCGTCTCATTTCCACGAAGCGAACGAACTGGGGAAACCGTGGAAGCATGTATGTATTATGTATTTTTTCGCGATTTTATTAAATCTTGATTAAGCGTATGCGACATATGTACATGATGTTTCCTTCCAGATGGAACACGAGAGAATTGCTGTACGTCTTGAATATTCCTGTAATCTCTCTGTATTATGCAAAAGTGTAGAGTTATAGAGTTGTTATAGACTGAATAAGGGGGAAAAATGATAGTACTGCCTACCCATCACTAAACTTGTAATCAACAGCAGGTAAATATTAAATTTGAATTAATTAGAAATAAAGTGAAAAATTTTATATTAAACATATATATGAAACATTCATCTTATTATGTTTCTAGATATTGCTCTACATTACAATGGATATTGGCGTTGTCAAAATTGCGGAAGATAAAGATTTTGAGAAATTAAAGCAATTGTACGATGATAATAATGACTGGAAATTAGATTATAACAAACCTGATTTATCTGTTTGGACAAAATCCGTCCGAGGAATTAGTTTTAAAATGGTGAAAGTAAGTTTTTCTTTGATAAATAAATTATATACCTTTCCACGATCAAGATAGAAGTGATTCAATTTATAAATTACACCGCAATCTTATTTACAGATCAGAACGCGTTTTCCTGATGTTTTGCCAGAAACATTATATGACGTTTTACATGATCCTGAATATAGGAAAGTATGGGACACTCATATGATTGAATCAAAAGATATAGGGTTTTTTAATCCAAATAATGACATTGGTTATTACTCCAGTGAGTATTGTGCATTCATGTATTTTTGAAATTTTATCTTTAATACCAGGAATCTTATTCTATTTATATTACACAAATTTTAGTGACATGCCCATCTCCATTAAAAAATAGAGATTTTATCTTGCAACGATCTTGGCTAGATACTGGCATAGAACAATTGATATTGAATCATTCTGTTTATCACAAAGATTATCCACCTAGAAAACACTTTGTACGAGCAACATCTTACCTCACGGGTAAGCTCGAAAACTTGTTAATATTTCGTGTATGGTATATATATGTCTATATGTAACACAATATATTATATTTAAGGCTACATTGTAAGGCCTTCGCGCAATGGAGATGGTTCTGAGCTCGGTTATGTATCGCACACAGATCCACATGGTAAATTGCCTGTGTGGTTGGTCAATAAAATTACGCAAATATTTGCTCCCAAAGTGAGATATCGTATAAAGAAATATATCAGAATTAAGTAACAAATACATATATTTCCTTATAAAATTGTTCTTTGTAGATGGTAAAACGATTACATAAGGCCTCTGTGGGTTACCCCAGCTGGAAAGTACTTAATAATCCAAATTACAAGCCATGGCATTATCCTGAACAAATAATGGCACCTAGAATACGTATTGAAGAAGTAAGAGTAGTCTATTGTATTTTATATTCTGCAAGTTATATAATTAGATGACACTATGTGTAGAGTTGCCAACTATATTATTTAAACGTTCTAAATTGAACTTTTTATTTAATTATTTTTTTATTAAAAAAGACACTTATTTTAAATTATCTTTAATTTATCTTTTCTCTATGATTATTTTGTTTTATAATATAAAATAACACGAGATTATATTTTATTAAAATACATTTCGTTATTGTATTTTTATTACATTTTTTATTTTGTTATTTACACAATGGATTATTATATTTTATTGTATGTTTAAAAATTTTTTTAAACTCTTGCAGTATCTTATACATATTGTATATCCTTAAAAATCAGTCTAATTTTATCACATAATTTTAATAATTATATGTGATAATTTTGTCATACTGATATTTAATAGGTATATCTTTATATGATAATCCTTTTATGAATAACTAAATATGTATGAAAAAGTAAATTTTGTTCTTTTCTCAAGTACGGTTGGCAACCCTAAAATTATTTTTTGAAGTTTTATATACAATTTTAATTTATGCAAGTGTTTGTTATTAACTCGTTTCAGTGCGTAAAATCTGTAGAAGAAAAGAATTCAAAGTATAATTATGTAGATGAGTCTGACATAAGGGAAGGTTTAGTCAAGGAACATACCATGGTGGACAGCGATTAATGTAATAACAAAAGAGATGTAAGAAGGGTTTTTAGGTAAGTAATTAGTGAAGACGGAATAACGAAAAGCTCTAGAGCTACAGTATTATAACTAAAATATAACACAGAGACAATTTGTACAATTATCAAAAGTTCGATTTGCGTATTTCTTATATAATAAATTCTAATTATAATGTTATACATTTTAATGCATATAATGTTAAAAAATTCAAAAATCACGTTCATTATTATACGCGAGATCGCCTTGCGCGTATACGCGAACGTGACTATACCTAAACACATCGACAAAAAAGTATTTGATGGCCTGCTTTGCATTAGGTACTAATTACAAGTCAGATTTATATTGTTCATGGGCGTCCGTAGGATTTTTTTCCAGGAGGGGGCATAATTTAATTTTTTTTGTTTTATTTTTCTTAATTTTGTTAAATTTAATTTTTCTTATTATTTTATTTTCATTTTTTTTTATATTAAATATGCGAATAAATGAATTCTAATGTTTATTCAAAAGGAAAGTAAATGATTAATTTTTTTACTGATTTCAGGGGGGAGCAAATACCCCCTCTTGTCCTCCCCCCCGCCCATGTTCGTGTTGATAAAGCGCGCAAATTTAATAAGGGTATCTCGTACAATATAGAAGATATATTAGAAACTTTTTATAATCCGTATCTCACAAGAAAAACGTGTCTCTGCGCACACGAGCGCCTATTTCGAAACATCCATCTGGTCTATCTTCTATATTGTGCATTGCACGTATAATTGTTATTTATTATACTAATTCTTAATATATATAATATATACACATACGAAGTAATCGCAATTTTTTGTAGCAAAGAACGTAACGAGTAGTTAAAGATTTTTAAATGCTTTGATGAGAGTTAGATTCATTTTTATTACAATTATATGAAACGTTTGTCGAAAAGAGAACGCATTTGCGTTATGCAAAAGGAGACTTTTCTTCTACACAGGTACCTAAATATTACAAATTCTATATAGAACGAATAATCAACTTACTTAGTATCAATAAAAAGTTCAGATATCCTCTCTTCATTAATTTTCTCTTTATCATTCTAAATAGATTTTATTCGCAGTCTCCTCGATTTTTTTATAAATATATTAAATGTGTACAAAAAAACAGACGTGAATGCAAAATATATAAAAAAAAACAATACCAAAAAAATGATACCACAGTCTCGAATTTACATTTTGTTAATTTAATTATATTACATTTTTATGTAATATATAAAGTGCTCTGTAAGACTGTCAAATTTCAACGGCTTATTTTTACAAGAATTTTTGCACTAAAATTTATATTAACACAAAATTAAACGATTCGCACAAATTAGATGTCAAAAAAGCAAACAATTAAAAATTTATAATATACTTATATAATAGCTGAGCAGAAATTCTTTAGAACTACGCTCGTGAAGTTTGAACCATACTTTACGAAATATACTGTAGAGTATATATACATACATTTTACTAAATATTAATGGATATGTATTATTTAATTATTAACAAAAACTGGAAAAATTTAAAAATATACAATTTTGAAACTTATATAATTTATTTTCAATTTCTTTGCTCTATGGAAGAATATATAACGCAATAAAAATTGATAAAGTAATTAATTTATAAAATTCACAATAAAATAAAAATGTTAAAGCTGTCTTTAAATTATTATTGTAGTAAAGCTTCTATTTAGTTAATTACCGTATCTAATGTAAAATAAAGAGAAAAGATTGTGTTCAAGTCAATTATTACAAAAGATTCTCTGAAAAACACCGATAATATTATGTAATATAATATTTACATAATTAAGATGTATATTTATCTCACTATTTTTCCTGGATATATTAAAGTAAAATGTGTAGAATTGTTCAAAATATTATCGATCCTAAAAATATAATAATTGACTCCACAATCTGATATTTTATTTTCGTAAATCAAGACATATATGAAACATTATTAACTGCCTCTGTTGAATCTTTATCTTTTGTATACTTTAGATGTATGTCTGTTCATTTTTTTACCGATCGTTTTATCTTGATTATAAAATCATATTTTTGGTCCGCATTAAGGAAAAGATGCTACGTCAATTTACAGTATGCGTTTAAACATTATATACCGATCTGATTATAAAACAATATATATATATATATATATATACAGGTATACATATACGATAGTTGCATGTGATCAAATCACTATCTTTTGTGAACGTGTCTTTGCTTTCTTATCTCATCCGAGTATTGCTTAATATTTATTATATAAATAATTGTCTTTATTGACGATGATTCCGTAAGTTTCTTGAGTTAACACAGATGTGTGCTTATTAAAGTACTATATTAATATGGAAAAATATTAATTTTTGTGGAGAGGAGATTTATACTTCATTACATCTCTCGCTATCAAAAATATTCCGTAGTTGTTAAAATAAACGAAATTTTTGAGTAATTATTGACAAATTATATAATCAAGTCTCGAATAAGTCTGGCAAATTATAACTGGCATTATTATAGTCTCGCACCGGAATGTGAATATGACGGACGGATTAACAGGATGAGTAAAAGATCTAGTCGGAAAAAACCGTTTGACGTATTTTATTTGTAAAATTTATTAGGAGATACTCCAAGTGAAAAATATTCTAAATGGACAACATAACACAATGGTGACATAACAAGATGATGCCGCTGGTCGCATATCTTTCATTTTTCAATGAAACAAGTGCAGTTCTGTCGAGCGCGTTGAAGTGTTTGCTTCTCGGTACCTCTTCCTTATTTATATTGTTTTATCTTTATTTTATCTTTGTTTTATCGATTTTACATTAGGTCAGTCTACAGAATTGCAGTAATATATCGCGGGCACGATAGCGCGCGATTAGACGATCTAAATTTCTAATCGTATGGGGAAACAAATATGTACAATATGGAATCGCGTCCGTTGTCCGGTGAAGAGAAGCTTATAGAAAAATCTGTAGATTTTCACTCAAACAGCGATACTCACAATCAGATAATAGCATCGCAGAGATATCATCCTAACATTGTTGAATGCGAAAGCTTATTGATAAATAAACATAAAAATAATGACTCTATTGCGATTACGATTAAAAAAACAGGAACAGGACAAACTGAAAAATATAAGAATGATAAAACAGTATCAAATGTCAACGAGATTTTGCAAAATAATTCAAAGGTAAAAGGTATTTTTTTGCTTTTCTTTTGTATTCTTGACGATTATAAATCGATTCTTAATAAATTATATAGAATATTCGATATTCCCGAAAATGATTCTTATTTAAAATTAAATGTATGGTATTAATATATATATATATATATATATATATATATGTGTGTATAATATATATATATATATAAGTATATCATTCTTAAAATCCCTAACTATTATTGCTATTATTATTAATCATTAAATTCTTTTAATTATTTCTAATAATTATATTTAGAATCTTATTTCCTAGACATTAATTTTTATCTTGATATTATATTGACATAAACATCTAATATGACAAATTTATAACTAAATTGATTAAAGTATGTCAAATTTCTTTTGTAATTTGAATAAATTTAATCTTGCAAACATTAATCGAACGGAATCGTAGGGAGACAATACTCACGTATGCAATGAAAAAACTCAAGTCCTTAAAGAAGTTACCAAACCGACGAAAAAATCATCGGAAAAATCAAAAACGAAACGAACCTTTTCTTTACTCGATCCATTAATTTCTGTGAGTATACTCGGTCCTTCAGCGATCGCCGTTTGGAGAGGAGTCTGGGGATATATGGATCTTCATACGGAATTGTGAGTAACTGAAGAAATGGAAGAATCAATTCAGAATCATTACAATATATGCGTGGGTAAATATGAAACTGGAATATTTTCCATGGTATATATTTTCTAAAATCTTTTAAAATTAGATTACTCATTCACACAATCTCAATAATACCATAAAATAATTAAAAATGTATGATTATATCAATGTCACATTTTTTTAAATACTAACATTTTTGTATATAATTAATAAAATAATTATTTTCTACGTACATAATTTTTTTTAAATTTTGTCAGGGTTTTTTTTTGCTATTTTACGAAACGATCAATTTTTAATAATAATTCAATTAAATAATTAATACGATATTATCTAATCAAAATAATCAATGAATGAATAGGAAAAATTAATGATGTAAATATTTCTTAATAACATCAAGAATTATTGGCAATAATTAATCATTTGTACGCATTTTATATATTACACCAATATTAATATTAATTAATATGTTGATTAGCTAATGACATCAAAAATAAATATATTGTATGGTGAAAATATTATCGGTAAAGAATTCCCGTAATAATCAATAATGTGATTCATCGATGCTGCTGCTTTTAACATTGTCCCCTTTTGCATCATGATTTGTTACGCGTATGCAAAAGGGTTTTGTCAACAGGTTTCCCGGCTGGTTTTGTTTCTTGTTCGGCACTGCATTACACATAACATTCGCAATTTTCAAATCTCGATTTCATGATACTTACACGGACAAATGGATTGAATTAAATTGGCTAAAGCGACTGCCTTATCGCGCCTTACGAATTTTATATACTTATACTTTCGGAGTAGCGTGCATCACACATTGGCGGGGTGGCTGGATCATCATCGATCATTTTCTATTTACGCATTTATGGTAAGTCGACATTCTTGTTAATTTTTTAATTAAATATAGAACGTACATGCATTGAAAGAAAGGGAGAGAAACTTTGTATCTTTTCATGAACGCGTCTGCAGAGAGAGAGGCGAGAAAACATTTGCCTCCCCTTGGAATCAGTACAAAAATTAAGCATTTGCTCTCCTTTTGAATAAACACTGGAATTTATTTGCAAAATTAATATTTAAAAAAAATAAAAATTAAGAAAGAACAAAAAATAAAATTTTAATCATGTCCCCCTTTCCTGAAAAAAATCCTGCGAAAAATTATAGAACAATGAAAAGTTTAATCTTTGAGTGAAGAAACAAAGTTAATGTAATAAAAAGAGAGAAACTTTGTATCGTTTGAAAACTATATAGATCGATGGAAAATTTTATCACATAATAGGAGACAATTTAATAATTATCTTTGTATTAGGATAACAGCGACTTCGACATGTTTGCTGATGGCTTGCTTGGCGATTCTACGTTGCATTCGGAATTTGATAGCAACCCCAATGATAATCATCATCGATGTACCGAGTTGTGTATTTCAATTTCCTACGAGATATAACGTGGTGAGTTAAAAATTCAATAAGTTCAGTTTTTTGTCTACTCGATAAAGAAAATTTTTATATACCTGCAATGTTCTGTGATAACAGATTCATGTAACAAACACGCCGTTAATTGCAAAAATAGCTATATATATGGTTAGATATGATAACACGTTTAGGTATGTATAATAATAAAAAATGTATACACATATCAAAGAGAGCATGAAGTTGTTTAAATTAATAAGCTAAAAATAGTAAAAACTGCTTTACATCGCTATACAACAATTATTATACACCAAAAAGAACATTAGATATATAAATTTTATAAGAAATTTCATGTTTTTTCGTTGACGATTATAGAACTACTGATGTGTAAAATGCATAGCGATTTAAGAGGCTGTAATCGGGCTTTCTGTCTATATTTTCTCATATAATTTCGTTGTCACAATCTCTCTTACATCGGCTTTGACCATCGTATGCGCTTCGTGGTAGTCGCGTCTTTGATTATCGCCTGAAGAGCCGCTGACCCTGTGCTCAATTGTCAAATGGCGTTTAACGCGATTATACAATACACATGTCTACTTTGAAAGCCTGTAATTTGTAAATGGAACTACACATTGCACGTAATGCTCATTTTTTACACGTACAATCGTATTTTCTCAACTGTTATCGAGGATTACGCTATTCTATTATCATAGTGCATACATTCATGTATCAGTATATAATACATATACATCCTTCGAAATAACGAAACCATTTCGCATAATATAATAAAATAAAATAATTTATTTAAATAAATTTATAATAATTTATTATATGATATAATAAAAAGTAGTTGTAAAATTACTCCTTTGTTTTCTTCCGCGGAGATCATAAAATGGAGGGAAATTTTTCCAAATATTATCAAGAATTATCTAGAGTAAAACTGATTACGACATTCAATCCTAACGAAGCGCACGTTATCAATTTTCTAGTCTTAGATATCGTGTAAATCATAATGTTTAATGATTGCGTAGTAATTCTCAATAAATCTCTAATGACAAATACTTTACACGTGTGTTTGATATAGTTTCACATATGCACATATTTGAAATTCGTTAACAATAAAAATTTTTACGATGCACACTAATCCGATTATTCTGTAATTTACACATCGTTGATGTCTGTATAGAATTATATAATTATATTATTAATATAATTATTATTATAAAATTGTAATATTATATAATTTGTAACATGCAGAAACGGAATGCATTATGAGAACTGCTGATCGAGAATGTAAAAATGATACAAACGAATTGTAAAAAAAATGATCAAGAGCTTTACAATTTTACACATAGAAAGATCTCAACAAAACCACGATCATGTCGGTTTTCCCCGGAAATTTATGAACTGATCACTGATTATTGCTCACCGATAATAGAGAGATACGATGGCACTGTATTATACAAATTAACATTTCTTATCTATAAAAAAAAGCGTATTTTTTTGATATATTTATCGAATCACCGATGGTTATAATAATTCGCATCGTGTATGACATCGAGTTATTTTATCTGCGAATATTTTAGATGCGATTACCGTCTTCTGCCAATCAAAAAATCCCAATGACGAATTTCAAGTATCTATTACTAAATATAACAGAACTGTATATCAGATGATTTTCATTATTATTTATAAACACATGTCTGCTGTTATATGATTGAGAACGTTTCAAACAGACGAGTAGATTTTACTTTATTACTACTGTAGAAACCTAAATATTATTTGAGTCCCAATATTCAAAAATTATTAAAATCTATATATAGATTTATGCATGCAACATTTAGACATTAGAGTATAAGGAGCTCCAAAAATAGCAGAGTAATATAGAACAAATGGAAAAAATAAAATACCTAGGTTACATAATGCAGAAGAGTAAAGGAGCAGATATAAACACATAGAAGAAAGGATAAGAGTGATAATAACCATGAAACAAATCTGGAACATTGGGGAGAGGTTATTTAAGGAAGACTTTGAAAGAAGAATGAAGCTGTTCAATGCATGGGTAGGAAGTATAGTTCTGTACGGAGCAGAAATATGAGAATGGAGAGAGGAGGAAAGAGTAGATACGATAAAGAGAAAATATGTAAAATAGACACTGGGACTAGACAGAAGAACACCGAATTACATACTGATAGAGCAGACAAAGATAAGGGAACTAAAAGAGCAATAAAATATGAAGAACCAGTAAGGAAATCAAAGAATATCTTAATAGAATGCATGAAAGAATTAGACAAAAGAAGGAAAGGAAAAGAAGAGAGTAGATGGGAAAAGAAGAAAAGAGAGATAATGGAGAAGACAGAAATAAGTAAAGAAGAGAGGGAGTGAATGAGAGAGAATATGAGGGCGGAAGGGATAACAAAAGAATGGTGGAAAGATTAGAAAGGAAAGAGAAGGGAAAAAGATGGAAGAATATAAATGACTCGAAGTACAATAAACATTATAAAAATATAAGAACAGAAGAAAAGTCAGGATACCTAAGAGGACGAAAAAAGAAAGAGACAAACCTGATTGCGAGATACAGATGTGGTAATGAGATGAGGGGGAGCAAGCATTGGGAGTGAAGAGGAGAAGAGAAAATGCAGAGTTTATAAAGAGAAGATTGGAGACATGTACTGATGGAATGCGAGGAGACGAAGGAAGAGATAGAGATAGAGAAGCTACTTGAAGAAAACAGAGAGGGTTATGAAATAATGAAAAGAATAGACAGGATAACAGAGGAAAGAAGGAAAGAGGAGATTGAAAAAGAGAGAATAGAGAGATAGAGAAGATACAACGAAGACCAAAGATATGATAGAAAGAGGTATAGAAGTTAGAAAGTTTTACGGTAGTCTTAGTCGAGTAGTTTAGGGACATCATTTCAGTTAGTTCAATTTAATTTGAATTGAAATTTGAATCTGAATTGGGATTTAAGACTGAAATTTTAAGTTTGAATTTAGATTTGAGTTTGATTTAATTTTAATTTTAGTTTTATTTTAGGTTGGATTTCAATTTTAATTTAACTTGACTTTAGTTTATTGAGTCTTACTTCATAATACTATTATGTCTAGGTCTATTATAACTACTGTTATTATATTCAATACTAGTATACTTGTGTATAATATGTGTATATATACTATGATCACTATTATTAAGATAACAGTTTATATTCAAAATGAATTTATGTTATGTTACGTTAAGTTAATGTATCGACAGATTTTGAGTTATAATATTGTCTTCATTTATGTTTATAAAAGTTGATAAAAAGTTAAAAAGGTGTTATAAATGTATAGAGAGAATGAGAGGAAATTCTATTATAGGTAAAAGACACACTATTATACACATTAGTACATACAACATTCTCACATAAACAAATGTAAAACCGGAAGCCATTCAAAGCCGAGAGGCAAGGATTAAATTATAAAATAAATAAAATAATAACAAAGCTCCAAAAATTATCAAAATTATGAAGTGCAACGTGTTCACATTTGAAGTGACATTTAATTTCATATCTTGCGCAATTATTTAAGGTGACAGTGAATTTTATGCCCTTGACGAGGCTCGCCAGGGTGAATTAATGCACGAAGGTGAGAAGATGTTGTAACCCGAGCTTGATTGGTGCACAAAAAGGAGTCGATTAGCGACGACTTTAGCTAAAGCGTCAATGGCTAAATGAGTATACATCAATGGCTAAATGAGCACGAGACAGGAAACACTATTCAGAAAAAAATAGCGCCAAGGTGACTAAATTATATCATATTGTCATGGAATTGTTCTTCTTTATCCATAAAATAAACCGCAAGAAATCGGATATAATTTCATATTAATCTGTCTTATAATTAGCTTCAAGAATCCTTTTCTAAAAACTCGCTATTATATATACGTATATTTTTATATTTCTTCTTTTCATATTTATGCAATCTTATATTTTTTCTTTTCTATCTCAATCGCACGGTGATCTACCCAATTTAACTGTGATGTAATACACAAGATATAGGTACAAAATGTGACACGATGCGTTATAAACGGGAATCCTTCAGTTGTCACGATCTTTCCATTAGCCTATTTGACTTTTAAGCCAAATTAAATATCAGAATTGTGGAAATAAATCACTGGGAGAATTTTAGATACTTTGACGAAGGATTAATATATATATGTGTCTCTTATCTTCCAAGTTCCGTGTTTTGCATTACGTTGATGCATCTTCTTTGAACTGCTTAATGATCTTGTCACTCGTGACAAGCGGAAGCTCTCGCTGTGAGTCCTTGGAAGATACCGTGCGCCACCGAATCTTCGAACCGTATTATAACAGCTGGAACAGTGTGCGGCTCTCATCGCCACCGATCATTCTGATCCGTGATAGCACCGTGATAGCACTGCGATGAGAGGCGATTATAACGCATAAGAGGGGGAGGAGGAGGGAACGAGAGAACGAGGGAGCAAAGGAGAGCGGTACTCTGGGCCGGTGGTCCGCCGCGCGAGCGACGATGCTGTTCGCGATAATGCGATAGTGTTGGTCCGCGCGTTTAGCGGCTAAGCGCGGTTGATAAAAGATAGCAGTTGTACCGAAGACAAGTCAGTACTCACCCCGCTGCTGCCGACTCCAGGATCCATTTGATTTTCGAGCGCACGGACGAGGGTTGCATCCGGTTAACGCGGCTCCTTCGCGTCGATGTTGATGTTGTCTCGAGGAGTCCCTTGTGTGCGTTGAAATACAAAATATTTTGTGTGATTATATTTACATAATTCAATCTGAGAAACACGAGAAAGTGTTTTTCATCATCATTGGAAGAAGCTGCATTTTCGACGTGTCCGACGTTGAAGAAGTTAGCTAGGAACTCGAAAGCGTAATAGATAAATATATCGTCAGTCTGTCAAGAGTCATATCATTATGTGAGCATGAACATGTCACGATGACAGAGGTTGATCTTGACGGATAAGTCGAAGAATCAAGCTCAAGAGTTGAGACGTCATCGAAGAATGTCAGGAAGAAAACGTCGAACGTCATCGTATTTGGACACGTTGCCCCTCGTTCTTTTGAACTGATCACCTTTTTTTTCTTCTTTCCTCTTTCTCTTTTTATATGATAGTCAGTAATCCTGAAGGCGCAAACCATGCATAATGACCAGCGGCGCGACTACTAAATTCGACCCGGATTGGATAAGAATGGTCGAGTTGCGCGCGGCTAGCGCCGGGATGACTGGGGGGCTAGACAGGAGATCCTCGAATCGTCTGCACTACGCCATCCTGACGATCCTGGACACGATATTCTCCGCGTTCATGGTCGCGCCCGCGGTGGTCGGTTACTGGCGAGGTACCTGGGAGCTCAGCGATTTCTATGTCTATCCAAATGAGCCGGTGTTCAGCAGCTTCGCGTCGATTGCGATGGGCTTCATCGGCCTCTTCGTCTTCAACGTCCTGCAACACAGCCTGGACGACATCCTCCATCCGGACAAACATCGGCTGTCCTATTATCTCGGCTCCCGGCTCTACACCGGCGTGTTCGGTCTGTGTTGCGTGAACGCCTGGCGCGGCCCCTGGAAGGCTCTGGACATCTACACGGAACAGACGCCCGGTACAGCTGTTGCCACGGTCGTCATCAGTCTCCTCGCGCTCGGCATCATGCGCGCGATCCGCAACGTCTCCGCGCCGCCGTTCTCGCTCGTTCTCGACTCGTGTCAGGGTTACTTCGAAGTGCAAACTATGTTTCGCGTCAATGTAAGTACCGATCCACTCTTTCTTCTTCCCTCTCGGAATGCACCACAAGTTGTAGGATCGCAGTCCGATGTAACAATCGCACTTTTTTATGGCTCCTAATAACAAATGCATAGATATTATTATATGAAGAAAATTAAACAAGAAAACAAGATTACAAGATAACACGGTATTAATGAAGAGAAACAAAAGAGGAAAAAATGTTCAGAGATTATGAAAGCTGTGTTTTATAGGAAAAAGTGAGAGTTAGCTTCTGGTAGATGTGTATAGTATGTTTCAATAAGTGAAATCAAAAGTCCATTTCTATTTTGTACCAATTATTCGAAATTCTTATCCAATATTGCTTTGAATATGTTAATGTACAATGTAAATATATTTTACATATCTATGTTTTTTATCAAATTTTTAATTACTGAAGAAAAGAAATACATTACCAAATATAGCATTCCTTTTCTTCCACTTTCGTCTAAGAGTATACTCCAAAGACACTCTTCGAAAGCTCGATATATATATTTTCTGAAAAAATAATATCCATGAACAAATATGGTTTTTATAAATATATTTAATATAATTTATATACTTATTTATTTTTCTTGCTTATCTTATAATAAAGCCTTCACGAACTAATGTCACATTCTCTAATATAAAATTAAATATAAATTTTGATACTATTAAGACTCCGTTTTAATTATTCGATGTGTATATGTATAATAAGAATTTGCGATTAAGATAATATCTATTGATTCTTTTTGAATATAACAGTGTTTGCTAATTCTTTTTGAGCTTAATACATTACGCAAAACAACGAGCAATATATAAATAAATTTTTTTGTCTATCGATAGAAATTTGACAGCAATTTCAGTGAAAACAGGAATGTGCGAAAGAAAAGCGCGAAGAATAAAATCTGTAGAGTCTGCATTAGAAAAGCCAGAGCCACTTCGCTCATTACATTACACAAACACGATAATTTTCCCTCGATATTATTATTGTTTCCCGATCGCTCACTGTCGGTCCAGTCATTGCGATAAAACGCGTCGTAAATTATAAATCGGATCCACGGATCGCATGTGCCTCGTCGCGATGCGTCCAAGCTCACGTTATCGGTGTGTATAAGCACAGTTTCCGGCTAAGGTCCCCTGATCGTCAACCACTATTGCGCTTGTATAGTCTACGTGCGCATTAGCGCAGTATGTGCAAGTGCACTAATTTACGCGCCACATCTTGTCGTTTACGAGCCCGCCTTCTTCTCTATCTGCATGAAAACCGTTTGTCTTATTTGGCCAGATCGATTTTTTTCGAACAATTACATTTTCCCGTCAATTTGGCGAAATAATTAAATTAATTAAGTACAAGTTACGATTATACAAATGTGTTGATTTTGAAAAAAATTATGCTGCATAAGAGACTTGAGTATTATAATTAGAAAATATCTTAATAAAATTGTCAATCATTAAAAATTAACTTTATGATTCGTCGTGCTTTCTTTTACCGTACGTAAGACTTATCATATTTGATGTGCTTATATGAACAACTAGATATTTCACTGATAATATATTACTGTCAAAATATGATGACACGTGGATAATTTCGAGAAACGACATGCATAATTATTGTCGATATCTATTAATATCATGATATCACGATACATTAATTTATATTTATCTCTTTTATCTTTCAAGAGTGACACATGACATATTTTTATTAATCAAATTAATAAAAACTATAATTAACGGTAAAATACTATACTTTATTATATATTATTCTCTCTTCTCCCTTCTCAAATTGTCTTATTAAATTTTTGTATTAGCAATCGAAGAATATAATTCTCCGCGACAAAAGCTTGCATGAATCACGTAATAGATATGGAATTTCTCGCGCAACAAATTTTGATATATTTTTATTTAATATTTTCTGTTATATGAAAGTTACATATAACTATTAATATTGTGCTTGCAGAATACGAGGGACTGGTCATTGTACTTACTGGATTGTGCCTTTAGTGTCGGTGTTGTTGGCACATTGGTTGTTTTCGTTTGGAGAGGAGTTTGGATGCTCTTCGATATCTACCTATTTCCAGAAAATCCCAAATATTCTGCCGTTGGCTCACTGGTACGTACAATTTCTTTTAATCTATAACAAACAAAATTACAAAATATTAAGATAATCAATGATAATCAATTTTTAATGTTTCGCATTACTTTCTCTTTTCCCAAATAAAAATAAACATCAACACTTTTTATTTTACTTATCTTTATCAATATCCTAATATCATATATACTAATCATTATATTATTAATTCTTTTTTTTTTAAATAGAAGCTTGTCAAAAAATACCGATAGCTAACGATAAGCGATACGAATATTTTAAAAATCAAGATAAAAGATAGTAGCAATAGCATTAAAAATGAGAAAAGTGAAATAACGATAATAGTACGAAATTATAAAAATAACGTTAGAAAATTGGGAGAATGTAAAAAATCATAAAATACATAGATATATCTCTACATACTAAACTTTATATATATGTATATATTGTAAGAATTATAATAAGAATTACCTTAAAGGAAATGTACTTTCATAATTGGACACTTGAAACATTGATTTGAGGTCCATAAGCGGAAAATTTTGGACGCACTATCTGATATCAGACGCGCAGATTAAGCCATAGGCACTGTTGTTAAACCTGAAACAATCCGTCAATATTAAGATGTGTATATATTATATGATAAAACATAAAAATTCAGATAAAATAAATTTAATGATATCAACACACATATTTAATATCTCGAGCGAAAATATGGATAGTTCATCATTCTTTAAGCGTCGACACGTGGACCGTAAGTAACCGCGATTGACAATTGGCTCGAGCCGATTGTCTCGGCATAATTTAGAAATAATGTAATTATTTTTTAAATATATAAGCATACTCGTTTGCGAGGATAATTAGACGCGTGCACAGTTTCCTATTATCGTTCAAAGATTACAATAATGCAACGAGAAACTGTAAATTTTGCAGACATACGACGTACGTGCGTAGTGCTATGGCACTACACGCCGGTAGTTCGATTATATAATTGAATATTCAACAATTGTATGATTGCCGAGGCACATGGCACAATTGTCGGTACATGCATATGAAATGTTTTACGTTATCCCTGATTTGTCATTTGTAACGTCGTCGATGTTGACCGACGCGATTTATGCGATTTTCGAACACGGGGAGATCGCGCTTAAATTTTATATCTGAATTTTTTATTTTATATTGCACAGCAAAAAGACAATTTGTCAAATATGCGAATTTTTATTTCTAAAGAATATCTTTTTTTAGCAAGAGAAACATTTTTTCTTACGTTTTAGATTATATTTAAGAGAAATAGAAATTTATAAATATAAACTCTTGAAAAACATTAAGAAAAAATTTACTTATTAACTCTGTTGAGAGAAAGTAGAATATTCTTTACATATATCTTTTGTTGCCAATTTTTGCAACGTCGAGAAATATAATGCAAAAAATACATTACAGGTCATCGGGTATTTTATAGTCATCATAACGTTCTGTCTCCAACCGCTAATGCGATACGTCTGCGCGCGTCTTCAGGGTCTGCTTCTCCTGGTAGTCGCAGACGCTTTTCTCCTTCTGAGTTTCCTGGGGACCGTGAACGTCTGGCGCGGTATCTGGAACGCGCTCGATCTGTGGTTGTTGCCAGATAATCTGGAACTGTCCTGCTGGATCACCCATGTTGGCTGTTTCGTTTTCCTCGTCCTCCTTAATTGTAGCAACACCATTCTTGTACGTGGCGTTTACATCGATGCCGAGGAGGAGGCAGGGAAGTGCGTCGTGTTTCCATGTCACTATCTTCGATTATTCTTCAAGGTTTGTATACAATATTTACATATAAAATAACAATAATTTAAATATAAAAATAACAAAAATTTAAATATAAAAATAAATATATAGGGCAATTAATCAATATTTTTTTCTAACGTTATCGCTTATTTGCAATGTCAGATCGAACGCGAGAAGAAGCAGGCGAGGCAGCAGAAGTTGTTGGTGGCCACCCAAGATTTCGACAGTCGCACTGATGTAAACGAGAAGGACAGCGAGAATGGAACTCTCCTGCCGAATAATACCGCGGTGACGATATCCGCGAATGCGGACTCTGTCGCATAGATGATACGAGAAGCCGATTATTTATCGTAGATAATTCGAACGGAGAATGATTTGCCGCGTACGAATTCGAGCGTGTTGAAGAAGTGACTCACATTTGCCAAATATTTGCGCGAGACTGTGTTTCTTTCCACATGGAATTTTATACGTGACCATCATCCTATAAACGCAGTAATCCTTTCAATCGTGATCCTAAGCAGAGATCGGAGAATCAGGACGTAGTGAGTTTTATAAAGAAGATACCTTGACTAGTGATACGCGCAGCAGAAAAAAAACGGAAGGCTGTGAATGAACGCATGAATGAAGTGAACGATGCATTTGCAGTAAGACTCCGTATATTTGCAGTGCAATATATAATACGCAAATGATATGCAAATGGGATGACAAAAGTTAGAATTTTATTGAAACTAGGAAATAATGCTGCCGCGCATTTTGCCTTCGAAGATCGTTCGTATAGTTAACTATACCTGAGGAAAAACTAATGTGCAATCTATATATATAAAAAAGGAAAGGCTATTTATATATTTATTTTAAAATGTTGTGTATAAAGAGATTGATCTATATAGAGATACTTACTAAATAAATCGAGTATTAATATGTTAATGTTCATACGTGTCATTCACATTTATTCGTTCAATTTTTTAACCCTAATTGTAATGATCATTTAACTATGCTCCATGGACTGAAATGTTAATCATGATTTGAATTTGAAAATTGACTATAATTTAACATTACTTAGAAAAAAATAGCTTGTCAATCATTTGATCTTCACGAGATCAGGTTTCTACAATGAGTAATACTATAAAGCGTTATACAAAGAGCTGTCATCTTGCTTTATAAATTCGCTACCCACATATATTTTGGGTTTAGTAAAGAAAAAAAATATTATCCGAACAAATTCATCATTGAGCTTAACATCGAACGGAACCTTGACCGACGACGATATAATAGATTGAACAGGATCATTATAAGTAAAACGTGTAACCCTCTCTCTCTCGTATCCTGTGGTATGGTACACCCCGTACTTTTTGCTCTTGTGCTCGCTTTCGGACAATTACTACGTCATAGCGTACTAATAACTAATTAGCCGAGATAATGACGGGACAATAGACGGCAGGCATGATGGATGGGAAGTGCTTAGTTCGACAATAAATGCTTGCTCCCCTGGCCTACATTTAATGTTTCCACAATGAACAACTCCCTCATATACGTCGACGAGGCAGGAGCAATTGTTTTTCGACGTGTATCAGTCGCACAACATCGGTTATTCATTCTTTTTTCCTTTCATTACAATATCATCCCATCTATGCCACTTTTTGCAGGTCAAGTTTCTTATAATAGTATATGCGCTATCAATTTCATCGATATTAAAAATACTTAAAGACACATATCTATTATAGTTACGTATTAAATTAAGATAAGGACAAATTCTTTGGTCTCGAATAATGTAACTGGACCTTTAAAAGGATCATAGACCGTCGATTGACTCTCAATCGATCGTGATCGAATCAATGTCAACGTGGTGGGGTGATCTATTTGAGGAGACACGACGACGCAAACAAGAATCAGTCAGCGAGGTGAGTCGTGACGAAAGGTGAAACATCGTAGAAAGAGATAGACAGAAAGAGAGCAAGAGTGTCCTCGGGATTCCATATTTTTACTGTGCATTCAAGTTTAATATTCAAAATCATCACACGTGACGCAGACGAACGCAAGACTCTGCTAGAGCTCCAACAGGATGGCGGCGGATGATCCCCTTTGCCGGGAACCATTGGTATCCGTCGAATTCGAAGTTTTTGGAAAAGTGCAGGGTGAGTATTGTTTGAATGTTCACTCGAATCAGGATTGCTTTCTTCACTTGATACGCTAAATAGTTCAATAGAATCCCGCTATTCATCTATATTCTCGTCTATTCACTTAATATCTCTTGTGAGAAGCAAATTATGAAACATTAAATGTGATTCTCTATAATCATATATCAGTAAATCGTATCATACTTTTTACTCATCGCGTGTTAAATTTCTAGACATTATCCTGTTTCGTTTATGTTTCGTTATAGTCTATTAAATATTAGTAAATCTATTTGCTCTTTTCCTGGTCTCTAAGCATATTCGCGATCGATTAAAAATATGCACTTGGCACTTTAATAAAGTGCAACTTCGTTTTAGCATCTGACTTAATATACATGTATGTATGTAGAGTAATAAACGCACGATCATACGTATTTGTTTACATAAGCATTTGGCATCTCTTGATCCCGCGTAGAGAATCTTAAAATCTTCAAAACGATCTTTACAGGTGTATATTTTCCGAAGTACGTAAGAGACATATGTATGCAATTGGGAATTTGCGGTTGGGTGAAAAATAGTAAAACTGGAACGATCCTCGGGAAGATGCAAGGACTTCGAGCGCTCGTCGATCAAATGTGAGTTTTAAAATTGCATCTGTAAATAAACTCTCTCTCTCTTTCTCTCTATCGCACAAAGTTTTAAAATTATTAGTTGAAACATATAAATGTTATCTCTGCGGTTCCTCGACTATCCTTGACTAACAATTGCTGTGTAACGAGTGGCATGTCGAAAACCGACTTTAATGAACGATTTAATGAAATAATGACAGCGCATCACCTGTTTCCTTCGTCGGCCTCGCCGCTACGTCACCGCGTCAAAGTATCGTCGACGTTGAAAGATGCCTCAACATATATCATCTTACACGAAGAACTGGTCTTGAAGGCTTCCAAAAGATCTTCCTGAAATAAAAGCTAATCGAGCTAAATCTCAATTCGTCGTGAACAAATAAATAATACATATATGCTTCAATAAGAAAACAAATAAAATAGAATGCATTTGCTGCCCTTGGCAAAAGAGTATTTAAAAAGAGATATAGAAAATACTTGTTATTTCGAGATGCGAGCCAAACCTACTGAACTGTTTCTTCGGTCGCGAAGAAGTATAACATCATTAATTAATTAATCATGTGGCGCTTTAACTGAAGACTCCATCTCGATATCATCGTAACATAAAAATATCTGAACTCGGTCTGATTAGAGGCGCTAATTATAATTTCGGAGCGTGTGAAGAGAGCAAATGCATTCGTACACACAAAACACACACTCACTTAGGGAACGTTCGTTGTTTAGTAACGATGTCAACGATGCAATTGGCAACACGACAAGTGTATGACCTTCTTAAACTTGAAATCGAGCACCGTTCGTGGATTTTTAGCCGACTATATCTGCAGAAAACTATATCTTTTATAAAAAAATGGCAGTGTTCAAATATTCAAAAATATCAAATGATATCGTTTTTATCGATTATACTTTATATATCATTAGCGTAACAGCGTTTAGTGATCGCTTTTCTAACGCAATGTAAAATAAATATTCAATTTTTTTCAGGGCACAGTGGTTAACGTCAGTTGGCAGCCCAGGTAGCGAGATACATCATTGCGAATTTACAAATTGGGAAACCATCACGAAACAGCAATATCAAGGTTTCATGATTCGATTTTAAGAATATAATGTATAATCGATGTATAATACTTAAACAGTATACTTCGAATGCAAGCAATTGATTTGCACAGAGTACACTCAAAATTCCACTGATATTGAGAACAATTGTACGACTTTATGAAATATTTGTCACACAAATATCTTTTTAACAAATTATTAGCTTATATATGATACGACGACGAGAAACGCAAATATTTAACGTGTTCCTTATATATATAGTTTCTTAAAAATATTGCAAATTCTTTCAGAAAAATTAGAGATAATTATGTTCAAAAATATACGTTTAAAAGAAACATTATATTTAATTACAGATATACATGATAGATTAATTAGAATATTTAAACTTAATGACTCTAATCAGATTTTTAAAAACTTGATAAATAAATTGATACGTTCTAATCTCCATTTTTCCCCAAAAATGCCACATAAATTATTATGCCTTTTTTAGAACAAGAACAATTAATGTCCTGTGATAGAGCAGCGCAATAACAGGGAAATATTATATGTACAAATATACACATAGTGCGATTCAAAGATAACGAATATTGTAAGATTATAATTCCGCTTGATTAAATTGTCCATAATGTCCTGAAGAGTGTAATAGTTTTATATTACTTTACTTACTCTTATGACTTTGCAGCTTAATATTTTATCTCTCTTTTTATTATTATACACGATAATGGCGTATCGTGTCTTTCCATTGATAGATTGACATTGACTTTCATTGACTATTGTCGTGTCTCGTTGTATTCGTTATATACAAATTATATAGTTTGTGATAAAACTCGTACACGACGGCTTCATGCTTCATAGTATCACAGGACATAGTTTATAAAAAAATCAGAAGCTAATTGTTACCCTCATAAATGAATGTCGCGTCCAACATCAATTGCGCAATATGATAATCACAGTGAGTTTTAGGTAAATGCACAGATATTCGTCGAATCAGTTCCACGGTGTCGACATTCGAGCAATTCGTACAGACTATTTCAGGTACGTTCTGAGAAAAATTGTACGGTCAGAAAAGGCGAGAGAAATATTCGATAAATACCATCAATAGATGACACTTACCAGATTCTCCAAATATCTCGTAAGCGCTGGACTCATTCGTGACATTTCTTCCAAGAGATTTGGTGTTTTCGAGAGATACGCCATCATTCTTCTTCCAGCTATAGGCAATAAGTTTGAAGCCAAACGTTCGATATCGGTCACTGCTACAGTTACCTAATTACATGTATATATGTTGTGAGTATAAGTATAGTAAAAACTGTGTATTAGTACATAGGTATAAGAGATTATAAAAGTAACTGTACGAATAATAAAGATGGCTTATTACATATTTTACAGCCTTGGCCAAAAGTATTAGGCATCTTTATTTTTATGAGATATCTTTTGAATGTTTATTGGAAATGATTCTATACTGTTAATTTTTATTATATTGAAATGTTTAAAGAGTATTTTTAACGATAGATATCAATTAATGAATCAAAAAACAACTGATTTACTTTAATTGCTATATTCACATTTTTATTGGCGTAATTAGTAGCCACTATACTCAAAAAATTGCTACTGTAATTAAAGCAAAAGGAGGAACTAAATATTGAAAAAACAATTTAAAAAAACACTTTTCTTAATAAATTCTATGATTTCACTTCTTCTTTACACAAAAACATTATAAGATAATAGAATTATTATGAGGTGCCTAATACTTTTAGCCAAGGCTGTATACCTCTTCCGCCAAACGATCGAATCCGTTTATGTACAACTGACAGGCTTGGTGTATTCTCAATTCATCATTATTAATCTTCCAGATTGACGCCAACGCCTGACATTTGCTCATCCACGAAATAGCCTGTGACGAACTAATCGTCACCCCGTCGGTAGTCTCGCGATGAATAAATTCCATCGACGCTGTAATTACTCTGCACAAAAATTCCGTACGCGTATTATCTCTCTTGTCGTCTCGGTACCACGTGAGCATCGCTTTATCCGTTATGTCTTGAAAGAAATAGGGCTGTACCTGCGTAAATATAACAAAGCGTTTGTGTATATGTATATATTTGTATATATATACAATTAATCACTATGTGCTTTACTTACTACAGTCTCGAACAAGTTATTCAGTGGCTTTAGCATTTTCAAATTAAGACACGCCATCATGTATAGAACATTAGCCACTTGTACGTGTAACAAGACTAAGTCATACCAAGCTGGCGTTTGAGAAATGGCTAGTGTGGCAAAAGGTTGTGGTCCACCAGGATGTCCATCCCACAATTCTTCCGACCTTATCGTTGTTCTATCTCCTCGTTCAAGTACCTCATCCTGTACAATGTAAATTAATATTTCTTTATTAGACAATGTAAATTAATATTTCTATATTAGAATGTTTCAAAAAATTTATTGGAGATATCCTTTAAATAGCAGAAAAATGAATTACACCTTAAATTATTTAAAGAATGTAATTTTGTTAATTTTTTGACTTTATAAAGTTTAATTTGTGAAAAGTCTTTTTTTCAATCATTTATAATTTAAATATCTCGATTTTTTGCTAAGAAAATATCGTTTTAAATTAACCAGAAAATCTATTATTAAAATTCGCTTAATAATTTACGATTTGTAATCGCATTTCTCATTTAACAATTTTCACATAATTCCTTTTACATTCTAGATACTAACATCAACAAATATATCCAAAAAAGTGACACAATGCTGTAAAAACGTTGTCAATTGAATGTCGGATAAACCAATGTCTTGCATACACAATCTCTCCTTTGGCAATTTTCCGAGTTTGTTCATCAGCTTCGCCGCCGCCTCCATTCTTTTCTTTATATAAAGCGTCCATAGTAGACAACAAACTCCTATCAAATAAACACATAAATATTCATCTTAAAAATATTCCTCTGAGAAAGCAATGTAAAAATGCTGCTTACCGTGTTTCATATTTTTCATAGGTATTTGTCGCAAAACAGCCAAAGCAGCTGCAAGTAAGTCTAATTGAGTAACATCTTTATTCCACGACATGGCAAACTCCCAGCATAAATTGGCCAACAAGACACTGCTCGTTAAACTGTACGGAAAGTGGCGTTTAAGTAGAATCATCTTGTCTGGAAAGAAAAAAAGATATTTAAATTATATAAAATGTAATTAATAATGTTATTTCTCTCAAGTGTATCTTGCCTAAGATATATGCTTCCGCTGTCATATTAGTTTTTGCCTCATCTCCAATTTCTACTGATAATGAAAGAAGTTTCGGTTGTTCCTGTTGAGGTACTTCAATGGCAGTTGCTTCATCCAACGAATCAGTCATTTGTAAAGGATCTATCGATAATTGCAACTGATCGAATTCCACATCAGTGGTATCGATTAATCGTGCTGGGTCGATACCTGTTGTACTAAGCCATTTTGCAACCAATTCAGATACAGAACCTGATATAAATGAATGAAAGATTATAAAAAAAAGGACTGAAAAAAATACTATTAACTAAATAAATATAACCGATAAATAAAATAAATTTAAATTATTTACCTTTTCCTTTGGAAAGAATCGATGCTAAAGAAACATCAATTTTTGTAAATGGTAAAGTGTAAAATTGTGTCGTTTCGTCTGGTATAACTTGTTGACTAAAATTAAAATAATGTTTAGTATTACAAACTAACAAATTATAATATGTGTACAATTTAATTATTAGAATATATATTGTACCTAATAACAGCATTCAAAATGGTAATATCTTCAAGATTACCAATCAACAATGTGAATTGACAAGTGTCGTTGCTAACATTTTCCCATTCGCTTATTGAACTGTATGTTTCATCATCTGGTGTAATGTCACTCGGTTTATTTTCCGTTTCATCTATGTTGGTCACGTTATTTATATTTTTAACGTCTTCACCTTCGTTGCCATTAGTCTCTAACAATTTCTGAGTCTGTAATTTCTCTTTATACTTTTCCAGAATCATAGCAATCGCTCTGCATGATAATGCAGCAGTAAGTGCGTTAAAAGGTTTTGTAGATTCTGTTAGAATTGTCCGTACGTTTTTCCACCAGAGAGAAACTTCATTATATTCAACACATATATCTTCTATGTCTGTTAAATTTAAGTTAATCAAATTCATGTATGTCATAAAAAAAAATAACATTTCTCATAGCAAAACTTACCAGTTAATAAACAAATAACATGCAGAAGCTGCGTAAAGCGTTTTAGCTCGATTTCTAAAGATACAGCTTCCTCTTTATGTGTCCAATATATTAATGCCAGTTCCATGAAATTAAATGGCAGAATATTACTGTCCTTAGCAGCTTGTTGCCATTTCTCTTTTACATCATTCGAGTACATCCATCCTTGATATATTAACCGCGCTAAAAATTGTATCATATTTAATGCAATAACAGCATAATTATGGCCATTATAAAATACATAATATAAAATTTGCGAAAAGATTACACCGATTTTACTTTTATTTTTATATATATTAATGAATAGAATCTTGAATCATGTACACTTTAAATTATATTGCATAAGGTACATAAATTTGTGTAATCTTTTTGTGTAATCTTAATAACCATGTAATCTTTTTACAAGGTTTTATCCATTTAACTTACAAATGTCGTTTATTTTTTCCTCCTTTAGATCTTTTCGTAGCCCAACTAATCTTGACGTTCCGAATTCAAAGCACGATAGAAAATCGAAAAACATTTTTTCGTCCTCCTTAAATTTAACTTTAGTTTCTACTGAAACATTACTATCCTTAAAGCTGTTTATCATCTTGGCCAATTTAATAATACGATATACTTCTCGCTCCGAAGTCAGTAATATCGAAGATAAATATTTAGGACTTGGTGCATTACCAGCTGTTACAATATTATATTCAGGGGGAATGTCAAGTTGAGACTTAACATATTTATAAAATATAATTATTTGCTGTAATTGCGTTGTCAATTGATAAAGCATCTTAGCAGTAGGTTCTAATTCTTCTTCTTCTATAACAAAACATTAATACAATATTACATATACTAATATGGAATATGTATTACAAACATATACATATATACATACACACCTGATTTTATCACAAAACAATTTATTGCAGCAAGCAAAGCATCTGGCAAAATGTGCTTGCTGTTCATTAAGACCTCTATTGTCTGCACTTTAATTTCATTTGTCTTTAATCCCAGACAAGTATTGGTAACTTCGGTAACTAATTTTTCTTCATTAAATTCTTCTTCCCTCAGATATGTTCTTAATTTCCTAAGTAGATGTATGTCGCGCGCACGTTTTCCATTTTTATTATTAAGTGCAAAATGAAACGGAACACAAATCTCCTTTAATCCTCCAAGTGGATCCATAAACACACATGAGTACTGTGCCTTGTTCTTTGACAAAGTAGCATTATCATTTGCACCCAGAAAGCCATAATTAATGTATAGTAGTCTATAACAATATAGAAAGAGATTAATAATTCTTTATTAGATAAATAAAATACAAAAATAAAATGAGAGTAAAAAGTAATATAACGATTATGACTTACCGGCCATTTTTACTAGCAGTAAAGGTAGTAATCTTTGGGCCCTGTTGCACATTCCAAATATCTATCACACCCTTTTTCGGTGCATAAATAACTAGAAATAATGCGTTGCGCAATAAGGCTTTTCGCCCGGATTTATTGATATTCCTGTGAATTCCACGATCCCTCTCTTCGGTAACTTCAATCCAACCACACTGCGCATCACGGTATCCTTTCCACATCCTGATAGCTACGCCCCTCTTGTTATTTATAAGTAACACTCTGCCCATGGCGTCCGATATTACCGATAACATTTTATTTGGACTGCAGACAATGCAATCACCTTCTCTCATAATATCACTTAAACCGAACCGACAGGTCATTGTCTCTACAGATTCGTGAATGTTGCCCTTTGATGCTTCAGAAGTCGTATTCTTCGAACCACCACGAAACCATCTAAAGAGGAATTAATGTATTAATTACAATCAATCTCTTTAAGAAAACTTATTTGAAAATGTTAAATGATATATACAAGATGTACTTACGGAACAGCAGTCCCAATAGCATTAGCTAATTTGCTAGCCATAGCAATGGCAACATCTGAAAGAACTGGCGCATTACCACCCTCCAATGCATAATGAAATCCCACAAATGGCCGTTTTCCTGTTGCAAGAACCAAATTGTGTTGTGGCGCGCTAGATCTATACATTGCATTATATCCGCCGCAAATCGAAGCTGTCATTAGATGGTCAAAACTATTTGTCGACGTTGTACCAATTACTTCTGAATCATTTGCAATATCTTGATTTTTAAATGCCCACTTTTTGTATGACAAATTTGGAACTGGTGGTAAATCATTGCAGTTGGCTTGAACTGTAAAGAAAGAAATAAAATAAAAAATATTAGAAAAAATATTTGATAAAAATCTTAAGCAAGACAAATGTAATAGAAAATAATTGCCAGTGTGTCGAATTTAATCAGAATTCCTTATTATTATATTACTCCTGGTAAAGAATATTATTTTAAAATACTAGAAAATATATACCTCTAGCCAAGTGATTTCTACATGCACGTAAAGTTGAAAATAATGGAAATCCTTGTAATATGCAGACACCGCTATTATACGATATATAAATTTCTTCACTGCAACCAGCATCTCCCATATGTCTCGGTATTGAGAATGAATGGCATTTTATTCCTAGGACTGATTCATTATGAATCTGCTCTTCAAAAAGCAATGCACCTGTCTATATAAAAGAAATTAAAAATTAATATATAATAATTTACTAATAAAAAAAATAGTAAAACTTAAGACTTACTTCTGTATAGAATCTAACAAAGCCTGTATTATATCCAACAGCTATACATGTCCAATCTGGCCCACTAGCCTTTCCCAAAGATATTAGAGGTAAGCAAATCACTGACGTTATCCATTCACTGAAAAAAATATTTGTTATAATTGAAATAATTTATTATTACAGTGTATGACTTAAAAATATTACTCACTTTTGCTCCTTTGCTACTTCTCCATGCCACGTTACATGAAATTTATTTTTTATTTCGTCTAATTCTTGCGAATCCCATCTTGCTATCAACAAATTAAAGAATATTCAATATCTTGTTCATAAAAAGTATATTTACTATATATAATTCTATAAATTTAAAATTTTTCTTCAATTTAAACTGCATTTTTAATCTTAGATTATATGTATGTTATAAAAGAATACACACATGATAAAGATATAAATAATATGAGACACAAACATTATACTTACAAACAAATATAATCATCTTTGTATTCCAAGCCATTGCAAGCACATCTCCGACCGATGACAAGGACACATGACAGTCTTGAAGAGGCAACTCACTGCTTGGTACATATTCGACTAAAATGCAGATTTAAAAATACATATGTATTAGACTATACAATACACACATCATATACTTCTATCAAGTAAAACTTACATTTGCTAATGGCATTGCCATAAAGTAATTTTTTAACATTATCTATATCTGGTATGGTTGCTATTCCTTTAATTTGACAGGACATTGTGCGTAATCAGTTATGCGCAACAATGACTGTCTGCAATAATATTGAATCCTCGCATCTATTTATATTATTTGTTTACCATTATATGTGCTTAAATCTCTGCGATTAATAATAAACGTAACAGTCTATTGTGATATACACAATCTGTCACACTGATTCCTGCTTACTCGACATTCTTAGTCGCTTTCTTCGAATTTAAATATTTACGAGTTTAAATTTAAATTGAATTTTAAAGAACTCGCGTTATGTCTCAATCAGGTGTAATTTGCTGATGACTTTCTAAAACGCATATGATGCGTATTCGTTATCTGGAACAATCTTTAGCCATTTCTAAAAAAACCTAAAGAGACGCGTTCGGAAATCCTACCTGTAGAGTAAAGTGTCATTAACCAATCAGGACAAAGGAAGTAAAAATTTCTTCGTTGCCATTGGTCAGTTACGTGCTACTCTAGAGGTAGGATTTCCGAGCGCATGCAAAATCAGATGGAAAGATTCCATCTGATTCTTAACCTAACCTGCCACTTTGACCACGTGACAGCTGTTTGACAGCTCCGTGCTTATTGTTAGATGGAAAAATGTTATTTTTTATTATTTATAATTATTTATATTAATAAAATAGAAAAATAGAAAAATACAGTATTTATATATTACTAATTTATGTATTACTATCCACTTTTTGTTAGAATATTAATAAGATAAAGTATATATATTATATATATATATATATATATATATATATGATAAATGGATATTCATATAATAAATCAGCTACAGACGCAAAACATTTATAAACTTTGTTACAACTATCTACAAATATATAATTCAATCAGTGACGACTTTTATATAATTTATTTATACATTTTCTATTTTTTTCAAATGAAAGGGCCTAAAAAATAATACGCTACTGGAGTCACGTGACTCTTGGTGCACATGTGTATGTACATGTATGTATACTTATCTCCCGCTTAATATAATTTAGGTTAAGTTACGATCGGTGTTAAATTATTGTCGCATTTGTAATCACATTGCGGCATTATTGTTAGAATAATTTTCTTCCACTTTTGATCTGTGTGATGCATGATCCCACGGATGAGGCGATAAGGAAAGCACGCCGGTTGAGAAACACACCGCTGCAAAAATATGTTCGACTCACGTCGCTCGTTTTAACACTCATGTATGCAGGAGCAATGTACATTTCCTATAGGAGAAAGTAGGTTTATTTATTTTTTATATTACATTATATATATTTATATTATACTATGTATATTATATATAAATATTACAGTTTTTATTGAATATATAATTACTATATATTATATATACATATATTTATTTGACATTTAAAAATTTGCAATTTACATTTAAATGTTAATATACTTTATTTTATGATTCAAATTTAATCGAATTTTATTCTACAATTATAGTATCCTTCCACACTTAGATGATCCACAATATCAAATTTCCGAAGATGAGTTTCATATGAACTATGATTATATTACAAATCCATTTTTGAGAAATATTATTAATCAAGTATTTACAAGACGAGAAGCCAGATTGAAAGCAGAACATATTGAGTTCATGAATAAAGTAAACGATATTGAGGCAAATAAGGATTAAATAACATTACATCCAAAGTTTATGTGGGAATAATGGATATTGATAAGAATAAACCTAGTAGTCCAAACAGAAGATTAAGATTAAGAAAAAATTATAAAGAAAGGTAATACTATAATACAATATGTATTTAAAATGTATTAAACTTTTCTGACATAGCTTTTGTAGTTTTATTTATTGACATGTATTTCTTTCTAAAATAGGAAATATATTGAGAAAAAAAAAATATATATATATATGTGAAGTATATGCAAAAACACATCCCACAATCTTTTCATTATATTTTTCCCTGTTGGATTTTCATCCTGTTGTAAATAATTTTTTTTTCACAGTATAGATGCTAAGACTTGTAATAATTCCAATATTGAAAATAAAAAAAATGATACTGCATCCACATCCCAGCCTTCATGCAATGATGATAGTATTTGCGATTTCAAATCACCAAAAAGAAAAAATATGGTGCAAACAAAAATTATTACCAATAGTAGACAGGTAAATAAATCAAAAAGAAAGTGCTTGAAACTAAATCTAGTGTAATTAACAATAAGAGAAAAGCTGAAGAGAGAGGCAATAAATCACAAAACAAAAAGATTCAACATGATGTACAACAACTGTCAATTGAGTCATCCTTTTTTAAATCTGAAAAAAAAGAGATGGATTCACCGCAGACTTCAACTAATGTAAAAACAGCTTATGTGTGTCCATTATGCTTTAAAAACTTGAAAGATGAAAGCTTACAGACTATACATATGAAAAGTTGTGCAGTAAAAAATAATGTGTCGACAAAAACATTGATGGATGCTATGGAATTGCAAGAACGGCAAGCTGCAGAAAGAAAATCATTAGGCTTACTCTCTGCTCCCATATTACAAGATAAGAAGAAACCTGTCTCACGTAAAATGGTAGGTATTTATTAATCCCTATAATATTCAAGCTATTAATAATACTAGTACAAGAGTGTTTATATACAAATTAGTTATAGATTTATATTTATTACAATATAAATTTTTCCAGGCATCGCATGATGATCCCGATTTTCAGCTTGCTTTAGCGCTTTCCAAATCTCTATACGAAAAAGAAGAAATAGAAGAGTGGGATGAGGCTCAAATCGTGGCTATATCATCTAATTCGTTGTTGCCAGATAGTAATACAGAATATTCTCAGAAAGCGACATTACAAAGCTTTGGTTTTACTAACAGTAGAAATATATCTCCAACAAAAAGTGGGCCTATAAATAAGATTAGAAAAAGTACTTATAAATAAACTCTTATACAATTGATAAAAAAAATCAAAAATCAAGAACTAACATTTATGTACATATATTAATTAAATTTGTTTTCCTTCAAGAAGGAAAACCTCTCGCACCGACTATTCTACAAAGACGTACAGCTGCTGAAAAAGAACGTATTTTAGCAGAGAGAATAGCCGAAATACTTATGGAATATACAGATTTTACTCAAAGATCACAAGAAGAGCCAATTAATAACATCAAAGAGAAAATTGTTTTAAAAAATCAATTACTTAAGCAATTGCATCAAACTGTAATTATATTTTATTTTTATATAATTGAAATCAAGTATGCCCTTATTAAAAAATTTATTATTTTTAAGGAAAACACATTGTGGGACAGGACAAGATTAACTTCAACTCAGAAATTATTTTATGTAAAACAACTATCATCTCACATAACACCATTAGAAAAGAAAGAGCAGAAATTAAATGTAAACTGCTTTTCTAGTAAATTATATATATTTTAACAATATTATATATGAGAGATATGTATTATATAATATATATGTGAAATATTTTATATAATAACATTATATATTTTGTAGGAAGAGCAGAATGTTGAAAAGCTTATGGGACAAAATATAGATAACAATACTTTGGACAATGAACAAATAGTGGAAATGAAAGAAATAAAGGATGAAAAAAAGGATAATAATGAAGAATTAATCTCTTCAAATATAGCTAAGACATGTTGTAAAGAAAAGACATTTCTTGACATTCTTGCGACAAGCTGGAGAAATATGTTAAATGACAGTTCTGCAAGTGACGTTATCATATTCGTAAAAAATGCCAGACATATTTGGGTACACAAATTAGTTTTCTATGCACGTTGCACAAGTATTTTGCTTGATATAACTTCCAACGATACAGAGTTCTTTACTGCAAAAGAAAAAATTTGTTGGATTGATATAGACTATGATGTTGCCTTAGCCTTTCTAGAATTTGTTTATTGTGGGATAATCAATGAACATTCAAAAATATTTACTTCTGACACATCGTTATCTGATATTAGATTTTTAGCAAGAAAATATAAAATAAATGATTTATTTGTTTATTTACGTCAAAAAGAATTTAAATCTAACATAGCAGAAATCAAACATGAGACTTGCGAAAAAAGTATAAATAATTTACATGCAGATATGGAAAAGGATTTAAATGTTTCAAAATCTTCTTTTAATGCATCTCCAAATCATACTTGTAATGATGCAAAAAACATTCAGTGTTCTCAAAGAATATCGTTGCAAAATAATTTTAACGATAATCTACACTCTTTTGAAAATAATTGCATATCTCCAAAGAACTCCTGTGTACTAGAAGATGAAAAATCTGCTCCAATAAGAATATTAGACGAAATAAATTCCAGAAGTAACACACCCAATTGGGAAATCTCTAGTGCATCGCCTGATTTGTTTGATGATACATCTGATATAATGAAATGTAAAGAACACTCTAACAATCATGAAGATTCTGATATTCATATATTATTAGATTTAATTAAACAAGATAAGGATGCTGATATTTGTAGTCAAACATTAGCTGAAAAGAGACAGAGCACAGAATATTCGGAATCAGGTAAAGATATAGCCATCAATTCGGAAAAAAATGCGAAACAAAATGTAATGGTGATCGATTCAGATTCCGAATCGGATTCTCGAAAGTCATTTAGTGACAATATACATAAAAATTCTTTAATCGATACTCCTCAAAGTAGCAAGACGAAATCTATCCAGGATTCTTCTTTGAAATTAACAAAACAGAAAAGTAATCTTACGCTATTCATCGAAGAAATGCAAAAACACAATTCGACATTGGATTTGGATTTAGATTCTGATATAGAATATCATGCAGAAACATCTATAAAATACAAGAATCCATTTCATATAAATAAACACGATAATTCCGAAGACTTTCAATTTTACAATGATAATGTTGAACAGTCAGTTGAGGCAGAAAAAAACCCTAGTCGATTAAGCATAATAGAACAGTGTATGCGATCGTTTGCTGATAAGAATCCGGAATTTTATTCTCATCTTTCTAATAAAGATGTAGACATTAAACAAACTAGTACTTTGCACATCCAAGACGACAATGTTTCTATATCCAAGATGACAATGGACTCTTCTTGTAACAATATACAAAGCTTTACTTTGGCTGAAAAGGACATTAACATTCCGAAACAAATCGCAGTCACTATGCCATCATCAGCAACATATTCACCACACATTAAAACTGCGAATCAATCTCTTAACGATACCATCCTTGATGTAGAAACGGACGAGGAAGAAATTTCTATGTATTCTAAATACATGAAGGATAACAAAGAAAACAGTATAGCAAACTATCGCGCAGCAGTCAAGGAAACTGGATTGAATGATAGTTTATCTAACAAAAATACGTCATTTGATTCAATCAGTAAAACAGCGACATCAATGCTACTAAAAATGATGTTTTGGATGAATCTGTTTTAACACAGAAAGAAGCGGATATAATTGTTTCATCGGATACAGAGATTGAAAGCATATCTTCTAGTGCTAGCCATCCTGTCATCTCAAAAAAAGATGATTCTGATCATGAAGATATACTGCCTCATTCTACTCAACAATCTAAGAGGATAACAGAATATAACAAACAAGATGTAGAAAATCAAAAAAGCAGTCAATTCATTCGAGTTGAAGATACTTCAAAAGTCGTAATCACAGACTTGGAGGAGGAAAAAGATTTTAATAGTTCAACTAAATCAAATCAAGAGGAATTCGATGCTAGCATTACTGAGATAGCATCTGATGATATAGACTGTAATATGATTTTCACGCGAAAAAAGTCCGGATTTAATGAATCAGAATTTGTAGATACAGAAAACTTATTTTTAAATGTAAATGATTGCAGTGAATCTATATCAGAAACAAATATTCATAAATCAAGAAAATCAAGATTTTCTCTTAATTTTGAAGATGAAATCTATCTTGCAAACGTTAACATTGATATGTACGGAAAGAACATTTTAGAAAAAAGTCACTCAACTAGCATATTAAGTATGACAGACTTTAAAAAAGATAGTGTACACAGAAGCAATCATAAAATAATGATGAAAGTATCAAAATTAATAAAGCAACAATGAATAATGATGTAATACCTGTCTGTGAAAACTTAGATAAAAATGCCATGTCCTTGACACAAAATTTTACAAGTGTTAGAAAATTTCAAAGAAAATCCTTATCTGAGGGACAAATTAACTTGAATAGGGTACAGAATCAAGAAACATCTATACATGCATCTGTACAATTTAAATGTAATTACAGCAGGAACATTGGCAATATAAAAACTACGCTTAAAATTGTTGAAAAAGATGTTACACCTCCTCCTGATTATGATGGCATGAAAACTCCTGAATTAAACGTAGGTTTACTAATAATAATAATAAATTATAAAAATATAAAAGTGTCTTTTCTTTTATGAGTATATTATTATTTAATATTATTATTTAATTTTTTTTTAGAAGGAAATGAAGAAATACGGATTAAAGGCCCAAAAACGTAGCAGGGCTGTGAAATTGTTAACACACATTTATAACGAATTACATCCTTTAGTGCCTACAGCTGAAATAACATCAGTGCAAGAAGTCGCTGAAATTTCAAGCGATGAAGAGAGTCCACCGCCGAAGAAACGAAATGTGGATAAAAATAATTTGGAAAAATTGAGTAACACAGAAGACAGTGATGATAAATTATGTTGTTCTCAAAATAGGTATATTTAATACAAGTATTTAATATTAGGTACATTTATAAATATTAAATATTCTTACACATAATACACACAAAATATATTTTATATAATCACAATATGATAATATTACCTGTGTCTGTTGCAGCGATAGTGATGTAAGTGATTCTGGAAAAGATCCAATTGGCAAAGAAATGGAACTTTCCGAAACTGAATCATTACCAGAAAATTCATCCAACATCACAGAAGCCTTTACAGAACTGCTTGCTATTGATAAAGATTTGCATAATAAAATATTGCAATATGAACCTGTAAATATTAAAGAACTGCATCATACATTGCGGGCTAATGGATTTAAATGCAAGCTTTCTAATCTCATGGATTTGTTGGATGAGCAGGTTTGTTTTTTTTCTCTCAACTTATGCAACACACAATAATATAATACTAATGAACTATATATTTTTTTAATAATAATTTGGAATTTTCATTTTAGTGTATCACATTTTACACACCAGAGCAGAGAGAGAAAGCTAGGATACGCAGAAAATCATAGTTTTATACAAACAAAATACATTTAAAAATATCTACATATTTTATATCTATAATTTCTTTATGTTTTTATTATTAATATTATAAATATTTTTGAGTAAATTTTGTACATTATGACTAAACTTTATTATTATAATGTATAATTGAGATATAAAATGTAACATGTATATGCTTATGTAATTTTGAAAAATATGTGTATAATCAATTTGTTCAATAAAATATTGCATTATTATTTCTCATATATTATATTTTCATATATAATAATTTATATTTTAAATAAAATCTTAATATACACAACATACAAGAAAAATTTAATAAATTTTTTTTTTATTTTATCAGAGTTACATTATATTGTAAGAAATATATGCGTCCGGCGGAACTCGTCATATTGCGTACCATGCGTCTTACACAGCTGTTTATTGCGTGCGCATCCGAGCAGGCGCAACACAGGAGCGTAACAGGAGTGGGGCACTGTTCGAAGACCCTGCTCCAAAAAAGACCGGCGACTAACTGTCTCTCTCTTTTGAGAAGCGCTATAATACGGTTGGAAAAATTATACGTGCGGGAGTCTTTGGTCTGTACTTGGAGAATAAATTGATTTGCGAGTCTTTTCTTATACTTTAATTTCGAGTGTTCGAGTTATCTTTATTTCAAACATACCATCCTACCTGACAATTGTAAAAAGAAGAACGAGAAGAACATCTTTCACATTATCTTTCAACTTCAGAAGTGGGATACTGCTCAGGCTTCACAGGAGAACCAGAAGCAGAGGTCATCTGGGACAAAGAAAATAATAAAAAAAAAAGTTGTTAAAACACAGGTAACGGCTTTTTTTAAAATTTAACGGTAAAAGGTTCTACCTGCATGGTGAAAACTCGAGCTCGCGGTAAAATGGAACGAGCACAATTGGAAAATCTCTCTCACGAGGAGCTGAGATTAGAGGCAGCGAAGTATCGGTTGCCAATCTCGGGAAATCGGAACTCGCTCATCGACGTGATCATGACACATCTGGAGACTCATGGGCCGGTCGAGGAGATGATGCAGCTGGCCTCTCCGAGACCGACGACGTCGGGTGCGGTTCCGAAGATCACGAAGGCCTCGCAGCAACGGAGAGACTCCCAGGAATCGGCGGACGTCTTAAAACAGATGCTGGTGGCAATGCAGAAGCAGCACGAGCAAATGGGAGCAGCGATGCAGCTGCAACACGAAACGTTAGGGCAAATACTCCATTTGCTAACCGACCAGAGGGAGGCGAGATCAGCGCAAACACAGGTAGGCACGGCGAGGGAGGTTGAGCGAGATACTTCACCTCGGGTGTCCCCGTCGGAGGAAGCAGGACGGCGCTCGACGGAGTCGTGGTCGTCAGGATCGGCGGTGCAGGCGTTGGCCCATCAAATCCCGGAGTTCGGTGGCACGGAGGACGACAACGTCCACTCCTGGGTCCGGAGAGTGGACAAAGTTGCTCAGGTCCACGGAGCGACAGACGGAGCGACATTGCTGGCCGCATCGAGCAAGCTGACCAAGTCGGCCAGGAGATGGTTTGACGTCCAGGGGGATCTGGCCGTTGAATCCTGGGTCGGCCTGAGGTCGGAGTTGCTAAAAATATTTGATAGGAAAATTCCGTTTTATAGGGCAATGCAGAAAATTGAGGCAAGGAAGTGGACTTCCAATAAGGAATCCTTCGATGATTACGCCATCGATAAGCTGGCGCTGATGCACCAAGTCGACCTACCTGATCGGGACAGGATCCAGTTGCTGGTGAGCGGAATAATGCCGACATCACTCAGAGCGACGGCACTGGCAGTATCCGACGACACTCTGGAAGGCTTCTTGGCGCGGATGCGGACGATTACCCAGGGCACCTCGGACTGGGAAAGGAAGCCGTCGTCCCAAGGGCAGCCGCAGAAGCCGAAGGATGGAGCCTGCCGGAACTGCGGAAAGAAAGGTCATACTTACAAAGAGTGCAGAAATGAGGTATCGTGCTTTTATTGTAAAGAGAAAGGGCATAGGCGATTTGACTGCCCGATCTTGAAAAAGAAAGAGTCCAAGACTCCCGGGCGCACACCGAATTCCTCTGGAATAGCGGCGGCGAGCGTGTCAGCGGATATACAGGCGTCCGATAGCGTCGCGGTAGTACAGGCGGAGCGTACATTGTTGTCCGTCACCGATCCGTTCGTTAAGATCAACTTCCTAGAAAACGGAGAATGTAATTTGACAGCGTTAATCGATACGGGTAGTCCGGTGTCATTTATAAAAAATAGTATTTTCGAGAAATTTATACAACCGGGAAATAAGTTGATGAAAATTAAGAGTCCGCTGAGAAACTTAACAAACGAGCCATTAAACATATTAGGAATTTACAGAAGTCGCATAGGAATACAGTGCCTAAAAAATAAAGTAATCTCAGTGAATTTATATGTTCTCGATTCAAATACGTTTCAAGGAGACCTAATATTAGGGCGCGAGTTCATTATCGAAGAAAAACTCACTTTTGTTTATGAGCCAGGCGCGAAGGGTGACCGAGATAAGGCGAATCTGTTTTCGTATTTACCGCTGTGTATTGATAGCGACGAAAATAATCTGGAAAACATAATTAAACAACAAAATATAGACTTTGACATAGAAGCAAAGGATCGGTTAAGTAAACTTGTTTGTCGAATAAGAGACAAAAATATTATACCTGTTGAGGACGAAAACACCGTCCAAGTGCAATTAAAAGACCCGTCGATTTATGCTTTTGCGCCGAGGCGTTTTGCAAACGCGGAGCGAGCGGAACTCAGAAAGATCACCGACGATCTGCTGGAACGGGGAATAATCCAGCCCAGCGTTTCCCCGTACTGCGCTCGAGTAGTTCCTATAAGGAAAAAGAACGGGCAATTACGGTTATGCGTGGATTTGAGACCTTTAAATAGTCGCGTAATAAAACAGAAATATCCGTTCCCAATAATAGAAGATTGTCTCGCGAAACTAGGTAATAAAAAAGTATTTACTTTGTTAGATCTTAAAGACAGCTTTTACCAGATTAGAGTTCATAAGGATTCAACAAAGTACTTTTCTTTCGCCACGCCAGATGGGCAATTTGAATATACGCGTTTACCTTTCGGTTATTCGGAATCACCCGCGGAATTCCAGAAAAGGTTGATACGGATCCTTAACCCGTTGATTCGTGCAGACAAGATCCTGGTTTACATCGATGATGTTCTGATTCCTTCTGAATCTGTTGAGGAAAATCTGGAAATTTTAGAGAAAGTATTATTAATTCTGAAAAGTTACGATTTTCAACTGAATTATGCAAAATGTAAATTTTTAAGGTCAGAGATAGAATTCCTAGGATACAGAATTTCAGGGTCGGGAATTACTCTTAGCCCGCGGCACACGGAGGCTATAAAAAATTACAATCCTCCGAAGGACAGACTTCAATTACAAAGATTTTTAGGCCTTACAAATTATTTTAGAAAATTCATCAGGGATTATTCGATTAAAATTAGACCATTACAAAATTTGATGAGGAAAAACGTGCCGTATCTTTTCGATAATTCGTGCATAGAGGCGTTTAAGTTATTAAAGAATGAACTGACCTCACCTCCGGTGTTGAGTCTGTATAATCCCTCCGCAGAGACTCAGCTTCATACAGATGCGTGCAGTCTAGGGTACGGGGCGATTCTGTTGCAGCGGCAGCAGGAGGGGAAATGGTCCCCAGTAGCGTACTTTAGTTCAGGCACGAATGCGGCTGAAAAAAATTACCATAGTTATGAATTAGAAATGTTAGCAATAGTGCGTGCAATAGAAAGATTCCACGTGTATTTGTACGGGATAGATTTTGCAGTCATTACAGACTGTAATGCAATCGTGTACGCTATCAATAAGGCAAATCTAAATCCTCGAATAGCCAGATGGACTTTGGCTCTGCAAAACTATACCTTTAGTATAATGCACCGCCCAGGAAGTCGCATGGCTCACGTTGATGCCCTCAGCAGATGCGTGGCCCATGTGGACGAGCTCCCGTTGGAAAGGCGCTTAGAATTTTTACAGCTGACAGACCCTAGAATATTAGAAATTAGTCAGAGCTTAGAGCTAGAGGATAGTGAAAAATTTGCCTTAAGTGACGGCTTAGTTTACAGAAAAATAGATGACAGATTAAAATTTGTGGTACCCGAGTCAATGGTGACGAACATGTTGCGAGTCCACCACGACGAATTGGCTCATTGCGGTGCTGAGAAAACGTTCCGAAGCATTAGTCAAAATTTTTGGTTTCCGACCATGAGAAAACGAATATATGAATACGTGAATAACTGTCTCACTTGCATTATGTCGAATAGCTCTCCGAATCGTTTGGAGGGGGAAACACAGCTGTACCCTTTACCCACGTTGCCACTTGATGTACTGCATGGTGACCACTTTGGTCCGCTTCAAGAAACTGCGGATAATTTCAAACACATTTTAGTTGTGATAGATGCATTTTCGCGATTTACATGGTTATTCCCTACAAAATCTACAGGGACTAAAGAAGCACTACATTGCATCGACAACATTATATCTGTGTTTGGAAATCCACTAGAAATAGTTTCGGATAGAGGCACAGCGTTTACGTCAAAAGAATTCTTAGAAGTCATGAAAGAGAAAAACATCAAGCATAGAAAGGTTGCGGTGGCGGCCCCGTGGGCAAACGGTATGGTTGAGAGGGTGAATCGTTTCATCAAATCGTCCCTCACTAAATTAATAGAGACACCGAGTGGATGGAAAGAGCGTCTAAATGATATGCAATACGTGCTCAATAATACATACCATTCCGCAATCAAGGCTACACCGGCAAAGATCATGTTTGGCTTCGATCAACGTAGCCACGGCGATAGCTCCCTGGCCAGGTTTACGCAAGCTCTTGTAGATATCGATGCGAACCTTGAAAAAGAAAGGGATATTAGCAGGGAAAATGCGTTGCGAGCGACTGAGGTAGTAAGGGATTACAATAAAATGTACCGAGACAAGCACTGTAAGAAACCAACGATATATAAAATTGGAGATCGTATTCTAATTAGGGACGACCGAAATAAAGTTGGAATTAATTCAAAGTTGAAACCTAATTACAAAGGACCTTACCAGGTTGCGAAGGTCCTCGGGAACCATAGATACGTGATCCAAGATATTCCAGGTTTTAACATTAAGCAAAAACCCTTAGATACAATACTGTCTGTCGATCGAATAAAACCGTGGATCAAGGCGCCGAAGAAACCTGAAAATTAATTCATAGTTGTAAATAGAATATTTGTATTAGATTTAAGTCGTAGTTAGAATAGTAAACGAAAAAAAAAAAAAAAAGGGGAAAAGAATGTATCACGATAACCTCAACGCGATATATGTATAAAGTGCTAGCGGCGGATTAGTAATGATCATTGTTATCTAACGACTTACCGATTTGTACGTAATGTAGTTAACTTCGAGACGAAGTTCAAATCAGGCTGGCCGAGTTGTAAGAAATATATGCGTCCGGCAGAACTCGTCATATTGCGTACCATGCGTCTTACACAGCTGTTTATTGCGTGCGCATCCGAGCAGGCGCAACACAGGAGCGTAACAGGAGTGGGGCACTGTTCGAAGACCCTGCTCCAAAAAAGACCGGCGACTAACTGTCTCTCTCTTTTGAGAAGCGCTATAATACGGTTGGAAAAATTATACGTGCGGGAGTCTTTGGTCTGTACTTGGAGAATAAATTGATTTGCGAGTCTTTTCTTATACTTTAATTTCGAGTGTTCGAGTTATCTTTATTTCAAACATACCATCCTACCTGACAATTGTAAAAAGAAGAACGAGAAGAACATCTTTCACATTATCTTTCAATATATATTAGTTCTGCACAAAAAATTATATTAAATCATCTTTCTCTTTTTCTAATCTAATATTTATTTAATTAATATTATTATTTAACAAGATAAATTATATGTTGCTTAACAAAATTATTTAAAAAAATAAGATAATTTTCGATAAGATAAAATTGAAAAAAACACCTAATTCTTATTTAAAAATTTGAAATTTCTATTGGACAATTTATCACAGAGCATTGTGGGTAGATTCGCTCATATGCTACATATGTATATTTGTATGCCTATATATCATACATACCGGATTTAACGACTGCAGAACAGTGCGGAAAAGTGCAAGACGTTGCTAACGACACGTTGCATTTTATTGCATTTACATCGAACCAACTTGTAGTGAAAAGATTATTCTTTAAAGTTGTTCCATTTACTTTAGACACACCTGTCGACGAAAGAAAACATAGGTTAGAAGATATTTTTATTTTACATATCTAAAAAAATATCATACATGTGTTACAACACATGTATTACCATGGTTTTATCATCACAATCTTATTGTTATATTTTATTCTATATTTATTATACATTAACATTATATAGTAGCATAAGACTATAAAAATTATAATTAATTTTAATAATTAAATACTTTTTTTATGTTACAGTATATTCATCTGCATAAATATTGGAAGTACTTAAATCAGAAGCCAAAATGTGTGATAAAGAAATCGCATCATCAATAGGTAAATTGCATCATAATAGAGAAATTATAAGTATAGTAATAATCAGTTATAAAGAGATAATAATACAAAATTATATACATTAGTTATAATACATATATGTAGCAGTAATATTATATTAATTAAATAACATATTTAATATAATAATTATATATGTAATAAGAAAAATATTTTATAAGGCATTTATACATCGGAAAAAAATGGTAATGATGAGGCAGGAGATGGTTCGGAAAAAAACCCTTTTAAAACTATCCTAAGAGCAATGTGTCATGCTGGTAAGGAACCCTTTCCAGTCATCTACAGGGATTCTCGTGAAGATGGCAAAAAGTATGAACCAGCATCCAAAACTCAGTTAAAGAAGATACAAAAGATTTGGGTTAGAGAACAGCACAAGAATGAAGAGAAGGATAAGAAGTTACAGGAGGATGAGGAAAAAAGATCGAAAAATCTTGAAGAAGCTAAAACAATTGTTATAGAAGAGGACAAATCTCTGCCAGAAGCAAAACAAATTAAAATATATGAAGCTCTGAATTATAGAGATCAAAGAATCAAGCTATTTGGATGGGTGCATAGACTAAGAAGACAAGGTATATAATATATAATTAAATAATATTTATATAATTAATATAAATTATTTCTGTTATAAGATAATTCATCAAGCAATTTTCATCATAGGCAAAGCTCTCATGTTCATCACACTGCGAGATGGAACAGGCTTTCTACAATGTGTATTGATGGATAAGCTTTGTCAAACATATTATGCTCTGACCCTTGCCACGGAAGCCTCTGTTCAACTGTTTGGAACTTTAAAAGTTGTCCCTGAAGGGAAGAATGTACGTTGATTACATGTTATATTATGGACATATAATATTGATTGGGCAAAATGTATATTTATATATGCATTACTGCCTAATTTTAGGCACCTGGCGGACATGAATTGCTTGTTGATTATTGGAAACTTATTGGGCCATCGCCTCCTGGTGGGGCCGACTCAATTTTGAATGAAGAAGCTCTGCCTGATGTACAATTGGACAATAGACATATAATGATTCGAGGCGAAAATGTATAGTACAAAAGTTCTATGTTTTTAGATTAACAATTTTTATTTGATGGAATTCAATCATTATATAAAAATTATCTTTATTGCAGACATCAAGAATTTTAATTATGAGATCTATATTAACTCAAGCATTTAGAGATCATTACAAAGATCGCCATTATAATGAGGTAACTCCGCCAACTTTAGTACAAACTCAAGTGGAAGGTGGTGCAACTCTCTTCAAATTAAATTATTTCGGGTATATATTAGACGAATAAGACAAACTGTATAAATGTATTAAAATTAAAAATTAATTAATATCTCTTTCAGAGAAGAAGCTTTTCTTACTCAGAGTTCTCAACTATATCTTGAAACCTGTCTTCCAGCAATGGGAGATGTATATTGCATTGCGCAATCTTATCGAGCAGAGCAATCGAGAACACGTCGCCACCTTGCCGAGTTCGTAATATACAAATTTTTTGTATAAGGCTTCTGGGTCCTCGCCGTAGTCATGTTAGGTAGAAAGTACACGCTGAAAATTCTTAGATGCAATTTTTAAATGAAGATATTTCGATGAAACATTACTTCAGATGACTTTAGCACTTTTAAAATACCTCGAAAATTATTTCTTTTTCTTGTAGTCAATCGACAACTGTAAAATAATCGTCAAAATTCCAGTATAGTTGGTGAAAAGCCAGAAACCTTAAACTGCCTGTGTTTTTGTAATTGTTCTTTAATTGTTAAATATTATAATTTTTCAGATTCACGCACATTGAGGCAGAATGCGGATTTATTACGTTTGATGATCTGCTTGATCGATTAGAAGACTTAATTTGCGATGTAGTCGAACGAGTTCTAAAGTCACCGCTCGCTCATCTTATCCAGGAATTAAATCCCGGCTTCCAAGTGCCTAAGAGGCCTTTCAAACGAATGAACTACAGCGACGCGATCGAATATCTGAGAAAAAATAATATCACGAAAGAGGACGGCAGCTTTTATGAGTTTGGTGAAGTAAGAATAAATTCTCATACCTCTACTTGCGCTTTTGTTTCCAAGATACGATCTATAATCTTGAAATCCTCTCTGTAGGACATTCCAGAGATGCCGGAGAGGAAAATGACTGACGCTATCAATGAGCCGATATTGCTTTGCCGTTTCCCCGCTGAAATTAAATCGTTTTACATGCAACGTTGTGCGGAAGATAGACGCTTAACCGAATCCGTCGATGTACTTTTGCCGAACGTGGGCGAAATCGTCGGCGGTTCGATGCGTACCTGGAACTATGAAGAGATGTTAGAGGGCTATGAGCGTGAAAAGATTGATCCGACTCCGTACTACTGGTACACAGACCAGGTAAACACGAAAGAATGAGATCTCCTAAATCGCGATTTTGGAATAATACAATATATGAATAGCAAATTAAATAATTCTTTGTATTATTTATTTTACAGCGAAAGTACGGATCTACTCCCCATGGTGGTTACGGACTGGGATTAGAACGGTTTTTGTGCTGGTTGTTGAACAGATATCACATACGTGAAGTATGTTTGTATCCGCGTTTCCTGGAACGTTGTCGTCCATAAAAACAGTACGTCAATGACACATTTAAAGAGCGATGTATTTCACTCTTTATATCGTTACAATAAAATGTAATACTGCATTATATTAAAAAGTCATTACAATAATTAAATTTAGAAAAAGCACACCGTAAACCATTTAAAGGGATTAGATAGTCTCCGAAATATTATCAATTATTCTTTATCTTCTCCGTTTTACAAAATATAATAACATATATTATTGCATAACACTTGAATTTAATAGTAATACAACGTTTGTGTATAATAAATAGTGTATGTGTATATATGTATACATATCTCAAAAGCTGGATAGATCTTTGATACTTATAATTTGCATATATTTATTATATAATCCAGTATACAATGTCATCGATTTTGCTTACACAATGGTTCAAATAAAGGCTCACAAAAATGTTCATAATCATACTTATATATAGGCAATATATAAATACTGATTTATGTATTTATAGAAAATTGTTCTTTTTCTGTAATGTTCCATATATAACAAAAAATGTATGTGTGCTTAAAATTATTAAGCAATTAATGTAAATTTTATTTATCCCTTTTACTATAATGATAAACATTTTATAATTTTGAATTAAAGCAAGATATCAATAAATATCTTTATAAGTGTATCATGTAAATCAAACTGCATGTATTTGATTATACAAATCGATAAATGTGTTTATTATTCCACACGCGTGCATATCGAATAAAATTAAACTTTTTTATAACTTATAAAATATATAATAGCTTATATATTTTTAACAGAATCTGCATTTGCAACAGTTATTAATACTATAATTTAAAAATTATGAAGAAATGGCCAGCATTATATACCTTTAAATGAATTTATACATTAAGCAACACTTAATCATACATAAAGCTATGTGTATAAAGCTGGATATATATAAGAAAAATACTTTTATCTAGTGAAGTTATGATCAAAATAGGCTTGAATGTTGGAAAAACAGTCTAAAAAACTGAAAAACTTCAAATTTACTATCTTATCATTTATATATCATTGGTATATTTAAGTAATTTAGTAATTTTATATTATTGCAACAAAGTACATATGCATATGTGATAAAAGATAAATATATACACAGCAATACGCTGCTTTCTAATTATTATCAGATAAGTTATAGTACACATTTCAGAAAAAGAGTTTATATCAGAAGGCAACATAAATTTCAGGCTCTGTATTTTATTATCCAAAAAATTGCCTGCCATTTTTTTATGTATCTTTCTTATAGTATTTTAGTTATTATCCAGTTTATTACCTCTGGATAATACTTTATTGTATGTTATATATCTCACAGATTGGCAACGATGAAAAAGCATCGAAGAGGAGTACTTTGGAATACTTGGAGGATTTCGTTCGAGTCAATTTTTATCGAACGTATATTATTGTAGAACACTAATTTACATTGCACACGTTTCTATTTCAACGAATAATACACAGAAACCTATAATGTCTCTTTAGCATAAAGAAATATCTCACAATTTTACTATATAGTCAATAACCGCTGTAAAGATCGGCTAAATCGTCCTTTAAATTATCCGCCGCTAAACAATAAAATTCATCTCAACTGATTTATAAATATTACATATATTACATATTAAAATATGAAGGTACGTAGATTATTATACATATAATTTATCGAATCGTTTAATAATTACTTTCATGTGAGAAAGGAATGATCATGTATGTATATCATATAATAGTACTATGTATGCTCCATACGAAATACACTTTAGTTAGGGTAATGTAGTGTCGTTCTAACATCGCAACTGTCTCGACACTACGGTTACTCGTGTATTTCGTGTGTGTCGTGTTGCTTTGGTTTTTTCTTTTTCATTTTCTTAATTTTTTTTATATTGGGAAAAACACTTGGACACGCTATCTAATATTACAACTTCACTATGTTTATAAGAGCTTCAATTTTAGACAACAACAACAATATTCGTGCAGGTTCACTACTTTATCACATATATATAATATTTTATATATATATATATATATATATATATATATGATAAAATAGCTTTGATAAAACAATATATATATAATATATATAATATATAACATCCGTTTAGCTTATCAACACAACATACTAGCCATGCAAAGGAATATTGTATTATTTGCACAGTTTGTATGTAAAAGTAAGGTAGATGTATCATACAATAGCAATCAATGAATTGCTTAGGTTTCTTCAATGATTCGTTTTTCGTATGTATGTATGGTGTTTATATCTATATATATAATCAATAAATATCGGCTCTTTCACATAATATACTTACACGGTAATCGTTTTCTCTTTTTCATCATCTTTTTACTCGTTTTAATCCTAATAAAGCGTTTGTATTACACAATCGCGTTCTGGCAGTTGACGAACTTTCATCGAACCATCTGCTCCGCAAGAAAACAACCGACCCGCAGAGTCCACGTGTAACTGGGTAACGCCCTAGACAACAAATGATTACATTAGATCTGTTTTTTATAGCTAAACTGGTTGCACTAGTTCAGAGTTTTTCTTTTTTACTCCACATTGAAAGGAAAGAGATAAACTCTAAACTGGTGCAGCCAGTTCAGCTATAAAGAATAGAGCTATTATTATCCTCATTTTCCGACATAATACCTGTCCTATATTTTTGAAGAAACTAGACCGTGGATGTTCTCCAGGAAAGGAGTAGAGGAGAGAATGGACGGTCAAACCCCATATCTGCAAAAGAGATTCATCGTTTTTGAGAATAAACGAAATGGTATTTTATTAGAAAGTTGTGATTTGAAATTTACTTACCTTGATATCACCATCACCTGCTCCGCTGACGAAAAATTCTTCGTGCGGATCAAGCGCCAAACATTTGATAGCCGACTCATGCGCCTGGAATCTATGCCTCTGTTGTCGTTGCCGTACATCGAATATGTTGATGTCGCCTTTCTTCCCGCCGCTAATCAACAGTTGATGTTGCGGAGCAAGGATCAACGCGCTGGCTCCCTGCTCGTGACACATGAAACCTAACGAAACATAATCATGGGTCATGATTGCAGAAGAAATGTCAGAAAATGTCTTATTATTCGTTAGAGTGCAAGTCCCCAGATAGCAACAGTAATTGTTACGTCAGCATTTTGACGTCAAAATGACTACTATCTGGGTCATTTTGTACGCGAATTCTTTTTACTCGTACCTTGTACAAGAGATTTGTTTTGTGGAAGTAGCGTGTCCCATAATGCTACATTCCGTCCTTCCGAGCCATGACCTGCGGTAGCGACGAGACTGCACGCGCCGAGGAAGACAAAGTCCGAGGTCACTTTGCTGTGGCACTGATAGGTCTAAAACAGAGATTTCGATAATGAACAAGCGGCACCTTCAACTAGTAACACTAGTAACTAAGTGAAATGCGAAAGTTCTTACGAAGAATGGTCGAGCTGTTCCTTCCCGACACGCCACTTGAAACAGACTCAGGTGGCCATCAGAATCAGCCACCCCGAATTTATTGCCGTGCTGTGAGAATCGCACGCGGGTCACCTTGGCAAAAGTTCCGGGCGCTCTTGGAGTCGCGACCGCCGTCTGATGTCCCCACTCCCATAAAGACACGGAGCCATCCTGCGATCCGGTCAAATCTGGCGTCGCCACATATGAAAAGGACAAACAGAAATGTGTTATTTACGTTATTTGTAAAATTTTCCAAAAGTACCCCTAATCTTATGCAAAACCCAAATTGATTTTTTTTCATATGATATAACTTACACAATCTACTGCTCAATCCATTTCACATAAGATTAGTATGGAGTACAGTTCTATTTTTCGTACATTTCTCATAAATGCTTAGTGTGTATGTAAAAATATATAATATATTATAATATATATATATATATATATATATATATATATATAATATTATATTAATATATTATTGTAATAAATATATAAGATATGAGTATATAATAATATATATGTAACTTACATAGTGGTAAGAGCGGATGGGAAGAGATTCTTCTGATGCCGTCAATTTTGTGCTTCAGGATCTGTCGAAATAAAGTGAAGACGAATCATTGAATTTGCGAAATTGAAAACAAAGAGATTCGAGAGAATATAAATAAGAAAATATGATACATTTATATATTCCAGCAGAATTAAACTAATAACTTGATGAACACAATACTGCGGTAATATTAATAAAGATACTTAACGTACATTTTTGGGTGTTGCATCAACGCAAAGTAGGTTTAATGAAATTGCATAATGGACACGTAGCATGCGTTTTAAACATTGCAGCGAGTTTTTTTATTTTGCAAGTAGTATTTGGCTGAAACTGCTTTTCAACCCACTAGCTTGCAAATAAGTTCTAAAGTCGATTAGCGATTAGCACGTCTTGCATATATTGAATTATCGTGTACGTGTGTGTGAACATGTATGAATGTGGTATGGTAATATTATTACAACAAAACATTGATAGAGACATATCTAAGTTTCACGCTTTCTCACATCAAGAGGATATGAGAGAAACGTAAATATCTAAAACTGAAATACATCATCCATGGTATAATTGTTATGAAAAAATTTGAACAATAACATGCATTTAACTCCAATATTCATTTAATACATTCGATGTAATACTTGTGTGGAAGAACAGTGAGTTTTACCCATTAACTGTAAATAACATCTATGAGAATCTAGGAGCAGATGAAACATCAGTTGCCAATTATGGATATGCTAATATAATCTTATGAAACTTTCCTCATATTGTTGTTTTATACTGATATATGTAAGCAAAGAAAAATACAAACCAATGCACTGTGCATGTTGCTATGAGCTCTTAGACAAAACGATATATAAATGGCTAAATATTTCTAAAAACAGGCCTTACGATTGCTGAGCTGCAAGGTCTTGTTTGAGAAATTCAAAATACATCTGACTTGCAATATACGTAAAGAAACATTAAGAATACGCTACAATAATTCTTAAGTAATCAAATCTTCATTATAAACATAAACTTTCTTTACTGTGTCCTTAGCATATTACAAATCAGAGATATCTGTTTGTTACCCAAAAAAAGTTGAAACATGAAATTTGCAGACTAGGATAGACTATAGGGTTAGTCTTGTTAGATGTAAATCTCACCGGCTTTAACAAGTGTTTGCTCCTATCGGCAACAAATTGACAGAAACGCAGGTCGTGGGAGCCAGGAAAAGCAGGCATCCCCTTCATCTGAGCGAGCGAATGAGCCGCCAGTTCAGTGACGTAGACCGAGTTAGATGTTAGGCAAGCATTGAACAAGCAACATTGTCTCCGTCACCACTTTTGTGCTACCCTATCCCAGTACATCACATTCACGGGTTGCAAGGCTTGTTTCGCGATATATACATTTTATCTTTATATTAGCCATTTAAAAAATGCAATATAAGCAATAATTAAGTTGCTCAATTAGATTCATTGGTATTATAAATACAAATACTTTGCAAAAGCATTGAAAAAAAAAATCATTATATACAAATTATTGATAAGTTTTCTAAATTTTAGACAT